CCCCCTCCCCCCCCCCCTCCCTGGACGGCTTCGCCTTACTGCCTGAGCCCCACTCCTGTTTCCCCCACCCTGGTCTGTGGAAAAATTGTCCACGGAACCAGTCCCTGGTGCCAGAAAGATTGGGGACCACTGACCTAGATGACATCTTTACACTGTCTCATACATCTTGGAACCCCACAGCCAGTTCTCTGTGCGCCATGTCTCCATTCTGTTGTTTATAGTGTAGTTACATTACATGCACACTTGACATTTCTTATCATCATAGTAAATTTGTGGAGGGCAGAGTTTTTTTCTTATTTGTATATCCCATGCTGAATCGAGCACAGTTTTGGCACTTAGGAAGTAATCTAGATATTTTTTTTTTAGTTGGATTACATTTGTAGGCAGAAACCAATATTGTTTTCAAGGCTCACTAATAACTACAGCTTGATTATTCTGGGCAAAGGAGGCTTTATTTTGCCTGCCTCTCCTGTTGTAGACATTTTGGAGTGGTCGAGCCTGGACAACACTGTTGTAAGGGATTCATTTCACAGAATTCTTGCCCTGACCAGAAAGACAAAGAAGAAACATAAGGACTAAGTGGTCCATGAAAAAGGTTGAGTGAAATATTGCAAATAGGAATGCAGAGGATAGAAGCACTGAAAGACCAAGGTTCTGGCTTAATATGTGCTGTAAATTTGGAAATGTGATTTTTTTTGTGTAACTTTTCATTCTAACCTGTAGTTCCCCTTATTGTAGCTTCATGTTTATCTGGATGCAAACAGGAAAAGGAAATCCTCTGTTGGTTTAGTTGGGGACTGCCAAGTCATCAGAAAATCTCTTACCGTCTGCCTCACCAAATTATATTTATACGTATACATAGAGACATATTCGTACTGTGGGAAGGGAAAAACACAAGATATTTAACATTTGTCTTATTCCTTTCACCAATATACTTTTCTTTTTCCGGACTTAATTCATTTAGTATAATCTCCTTGATGGTCTGCTGTATTCCAGGTAGTAGGATAAAGTAGTTGAAAGGCTAGGCTTCTGATCCTATATGTTCCCTACCTTAAGGAATATGGCTTACCTTTTGACCTGCCTTTTTTGTAACAACTTATGATACTGTCATAACAAATTTCTGAGGCTAGGTTGAATTTTCTTTTTGGCTTTTTTTCTTTGTTTCATTTTGGTATTTTTGATTGCTCTTCTTCAGGTTCACACTTTGTACTGTTTACATTTCTTTGAGATGTCCCATTTCCTCCCTAATTATGTTTACATTTTCTTTTAAATACTTGAACTTCTTGATAATACATGTGAGAAGTTCTCCTAATTCCATCATCTCTGTCATTCCTGGGCCTATTTATATTGGTTGATAGATTTTTCTACTGGTTATGGAGCACATTTCTCTGCTTTTTCAAGTATCTAGTAAGTTTTTATTGTATGCTGGACATTGTGGATACATTTTTTAAAAAATCCTTGTCTAGTTATTAGAGAATTAAACTTTCTGCCCAGGAACTGCATCCTCAGAGGCACCATTCAGTGACCTCCATTCCCGGGGGGTTGTCATATCTCCCTTTACCTAAAGACCTGGCTTGCCCTTGCTTAGCCAGAGAATTAGACCTTGGCGTCTAACTACATAAACCACTTTATGTACTTATTTTTAAATTACCAATTTTTAGAATTTCCTAGCATGTTTTTGGCAACTGTTATTTTTTTATTTTTAATTATTTTTTGGCACCATATTTCTTTTGTATGCTCTTAACATTTTAACAGTTTAGTATGTTCTCAGAACTTTTATTCGTCTTTTTTTCCTTTGTATTCTACTTTGAAAAAATACAGGTAAGAGAAGACAATTGTAAGGATAGATTCTTTGCACATGGCCTGAAAAGTTTCTTAAAAGAGTTCTTTTAGTAACCTTCTGCCAGTGCCTACCTGTGACTTCTAAAGAACTATTTTCTTACATATCTTCACTTCCTAGGCAGATGACGATAAGTCTTCCCTGTTGTCCACATGACTGAATTGCATTTGCCCTTCTGTTATGAGCCGTCTGTCTTTTTATTAGACTTAATCTAAAAGGTGGGAAATGAGACTAGGGTGAAATAGCCTGGGTCAGGGAATGAAAACCTGGGACTGAGGTGAGGACAGGGTGGTTTAAGAACCCAGATTTATATGGTAGATTGTCCTTAAGAATTGATAAAGTAGAAAAAGGCTATTGCAGGGATGAACTTGTATATTTTAAAAAATTAAATTGTGTAGAATAATTGCTTTAGTGTTGTTGTTGTTTTTAACACTAGTTTCTTAGATTCAAAATCCGTGTATGTAAATAAATTAGGTTTTTGGAAAAGTCATTTTAGCATGTATACATGTTTAAATTAAAACTACTGTCTTTGAAAAAAGATTATAATCTGCTAGCAAGTTTGTGGTTCTGAAAATATATTACTCAGAAATATACTCCACTGAAACCCTAATGTTTCATACCCAAAAAATAACTCAGGAGAGTGTATTAGTCCTGAGGCAGGGTTGCTCCTGTATTATCCTATGCTGTCTAATCTTGTAAATCTCAAATTGTGTATTTAATCTGGTTTATACTCGTTGTTACTTAAAGCTGTGCAGAAATCCAAAGGAAGTATAAAACGGGATCTTAGAAAACAAATTAGGACTCTTGCAGGTGTCAGTCTTAACTTGAAATAACAATAGCCAGAAAGGGTAATTGATTGACCCACAGAGAAAGAGGAGGTGGTTCTGGCCTCAGGAAACTGGGATGCTTGCAGGTGTGTGGCTTGCTTGCTCCTCCTCTCTCCTGTGATGCTTTCTGTCACAGACACTGTGCTGATGCCCTTTCTGTCTCTGTCCTGCATGCTCTATTTCTGTTGCTTTGTTGATCTGTCTCTGCTACGTCTGCCTCTCTTTCAGTGTACTTCCGATTCCCCTGCTCCTTTCTCTGCCTATTAGTTCCATTTTCTTCCGCCACAGAAAGGCTTTCCCGTGTGGCTATGGGCAGCTCTGTGTCACAGTCTTCAAATTCAGGGACCAAAGGAAAAAGGACACTCTGCCCTCCACCTCCAACTATAAAAATCCTGCCAAAAGGCCTTTCTGTCTTAGTTTACATAGCCAGGGACAGCGCGTTGTTCCCCACTGTGATCTCGGAGTTAAGTTGGAGGAGAATGGGAATTCCTTAAGGAAATATCCTCTTCCGATCAGACAGAACAGTAAATATTCAGTATAGGAAGGAGATAAGGCTTAAATATTTGAAGAGTGTGTTCAATTTATTTTTTTTCTGCAACTGCTTCAGTATTCATGCTTTTTATTAATATGTATCAAATGAGTATAATGTTTGGAAATATTGCCAACTAATCACTTCAAGACATATTTCCTAAAAGACATCTTCATTATTTTCAGTGAATGATACTGGGTTCACCAAAAAGTTCATTTGGTTTTTTTCAGTAAGATGGCTCTAGTAACGCTTAGTTGTAACAGTTTTTGTTAGATTGTATTATCACAGCTGTCATATCAGCATGCATTTAAAAAAAAAACTTAACCAAAGTTGGTGAATTTTTGTGTAGACATTTTAATATTGAAGATGGAAGAAAATATGCAACATTTTTTACATACTACGCTTTATTATTTCAAGAAAGGTAAAAACACAACAAACTCAAAAAACAAAACAAAAAAAAACCTCGTGCAGTAAATGGAGAAGGTGCAGTTACTGGTTGAACATGTCAAAAGTGGTTTACAAAGCTCCATGCTGGAGATTTCTCACTGGACAATGCTTCATGGTGGGTGGACCAGTTGAAGTTGATAGCGATCAAATCGAGACATCAATTGAGAACACTCAACATTATATCATATGGGAGATAGCCAACATACTCAAAACATCCAAATCAATAAAGATATTGTTAAAAATGAAAAAATGTTTTTTATTTTATGGGAAAAAACTAAATGAACGTTTTGGCCAACCCAGTATTTATATTTACAGTTCTTTAATCTTTATTGTATTTTTTCCATTACCATTTAAGCCCCTTACACCTCCCTCCCTCCAGCATTCACCATACCGTTGTCCATGTCCATGAGTCCTTTTTCCTTTTTGCTCCATCCCTCCTTCTCCTAACCTCCCCCTGCCCCCGCCACTAGCTGTCACCCTGCTCTCTATGAGTCTGTCCCCATTTTCTTTGTTAGTTCAGTTTGTTAATTACATTCCACATATGAGTGAAATCATACAGTATTTGTCTTCCTCTGACTGGCTTATTTCACGTAGCATAATGTTCTCCAGGTCCATCCATCCATACTGTTTGCAAAGGGTAAAATTTTCTTCCTTTTTTTTTTTTTTTTTTACAGTTATTTTAAAACCTCCTAGTTCCTTTACAAGTATCTGAGACTAATGTTTCCAGAGCTGAAGTCGTAAAAATAAGCTTACATTACAGATTGGTTGCAATACTCTCTACTCTTCTTGACACAGTATTAGATTCAAGTAAGGTATTGGGAGATGACAAGTATTTGTTCAGTCAGTCACAATTGGTCTGTTTTAGCACTTTTCAGTACTACTATTTTCTTGTTTTATACTTCTGTTCTTAATTTACATGGTTGTTTGCCCTACCAGAGTGTAAATCTCAGTGATAAAATAATGATATTTTATTTACAACACCCAATGTAGACTAATAAGTACTGGTAAAGTGATTGTTGGTAAAATGTATCTTTCTTGCACTTAATGTTTTAGGAAATGTACTTTTAAGAAACACAAGTGTTTTTTGGAAAACAGGTATTAAAACATGGAGTGATGTTTGAGTCTCCTAACCATTTTTCCCACATCAGGTCTACCACCAAGATGTCATGGCGTGGAATGATGAGACTGTATTTTAGGCAGGGAGAAACCGTTTATAAATAAGTATCATTTTGTTAGGCAACAGTATTGCCTAATTCTCTATAATATTTGGTATTGAGGGGTACTTTTGATTAATTCAGACTGTGGCATATAATTTTTATAACATGAAAGGATAAGTGATCAGTATTTCTTTCTGTAGGCTACAGAAAGTGAGGTAGGAGATGTAGATTTAACACGTCTTCCTGAAGGACCTGTTGATTCAGAAGATGAAGAGGAGGAAGATGAAGAAATTGACCGAACAGATCCACTGCACGGGCGAGATCTTGTTCGTGAATGTCTTGAAAAAGAACCTGCAGACAAAACTGATGATGACATTGGTAAAAAAAAAATATATATATATGTGTGTGTGTGTGTTTACATGTATTAACAAGAAGAATTTTATTATTTAATTTAGATATCGCTGCATAACAAGTTACCCCAAAACTTGGTGACTTAAAAAGAACACATGTTTGTTTTCTCATGCTTGTTGTGGGTCAGGAATTCAGGAGCAGCATAGCTGAGTGGTTCTGGCTCGGTGTCCCGATGTCACAGTCAGGGTGTTGGCAGTCCTCTGAGGCTTTGCTGGGCTGAGCCAGAGGTCCTGTTTCCAACATGAGTGCTTACATGGCTTTTGGCACAAGACTTAAGTTTCTCACTGTGTGGACCTCTCCAGAGGCTACCTAAATGTCCCCGCAGCATGGCAGTCAGCTTCTCCCAAAGTACTCCAAGGGAGAGTAAGGCCAGTGACACAATGTCCTTTAGGATCTGGCTTCAAGAGTGATATATCATTACATCTCCCAGGTCCTGTTTGTCACACAAAACAGCCCTCATATCAGATGGGAGGGGAATGCACAGGGACATAAACATCAAGAGGGAGTATCATTCTGAGCGTCTCTGAGGCTGGCTGCCCCAGCCTGAGGGCTTGTTTAGAGCATGCAGTGGGGAGCCCAGGCTTTCCTGTGCCCTTGACCAGAGAGTGGCCCTCCGCTGTTGTGGAAGGCTGTCCTCTTTGGCCAAGCACAAAGCTGTGGGAGCAACGTTCATGGAGCTGCGAGGGAGGAAGGGGACACCCGCCCAGCCTGCCAGATCAACTGAATCAACCCTGGCGATCAGTAGGGTGACAGACTTCGCAGCCAGATCCCCCTGGTTGCCCAAATTTATAAAACTCACATCCTGGCCGCCCAAATTTGTAAAACAAAAGCTCTGATTCCATTAAAGTGATTTTCCCCTTCGCGTACATAAGACATTTAAAACAGTACAATGTTGTCTAATGTTTATGAATTAGCTTTTTAAAACAATTTTTATGTTATCAAAATCATATTATGTTCTGACTTAGAAAAAATATGCATATAATTTTTGGTTAAAACTTTATAAATTTGCTTTTATATAATTTAATATACTTAAGGTGATTGTATACTACTAAAGATGCTAATGTTATCTTGAAAGACAAATATTACTTAGTGTCATTATATATTATGATCCAATTCAGATTTTGCCCTAGATTTCCCTGTTATAGTAGTCATATTGCTGCTGTTCAAATCAGAAAATGCTGGTACTAATAATAATCATGATCTGTGTGAGTAGAAATCAGTACAGTTGAACATTCCTTGTCACTCTTAACAACATATAGTTAAGTAATCTGCGATTTAGATTCATGTGAACATTATCTGGCCAGAAACTGAAAGTGCATTTTTTTATGCTAAAGAATTATATACTGTGCTTTTTTCACAAAACTTTTAAAAACTTGGAATATAGCTAATGCCCAGTTATCTGCAGGTGGATAGCACCTTATAGATGTTTTTGTTTCATCCCTTAGCTGACTGCATGTGTGTGCCTCTCCCTGATACATATCTAACTACTCACGTAGTTTTTATACCAGGGAACGGTCTAAGGCAGGCAGGCATCAGCATTTGTTGGTTAAAGAGAATTGCCTTGTGTTACTTTGAGAAATCTTGAACTAGAATTCACATTTGTTATCTCTAATTTAATTAATCATTGCCACTTATTAGTAATATCTTTTCTTAAAAACTCTGGCCCAATAAGAACTAGATGACAGCTTTTTCACTGATCTGTTAGATCAAAGGACATCAGTCACCATGGAGTGGCATCTCAGGCTAGGAAAATTAGACAGACTCTCCAGCCTCATCTAAATCTGTTTATTTTCCTGGTTCTGTCTGGGGGTTGTGAGTTCTGGTAGCTTCCAATGTACCTGTATTTTCGTTTGTTCTGAGTACATCTGTTAACCAAGTAACTGATTTTGTTTGACCAGCAGTCATCTTGTGTCTTGGTTTCTCTACTTTTTAGCAGCATAAATTTATAAGTTGGTGGGGAAGTTAGGCACTGAATTCTAGATATTATTGTATCTTTAAAGTGTAGTCCTTGATGGTCTCCGTGCTACAATTTCTTTTTTTTAATAGAGCAGTTACTGGAGTTCATGCATCAGCTCCCTGCTTTTGCCAACATGACCATGAGCGTGAGGAGAGAACTCTGCTCGGTGATGATTTTTGAAGTGGTAGAGCAGGCTGGAGCTGTTATTCTTGAAGATGGACAAGAGGTAGGTTAGCAAATAAATGTTACACATTATGCAGTATGCAGGTAATTTTTAGAATTTCCATAAACTTGTGTAAATGCTGATTTTAAATTTACACAATTTTTTTAAATGAATGCCGAGCTTGGGATAGTTACAGTTCCTTGAGATAAGTTTAGTTTTGTTTTTGCTGTATGTACTTTGTCTTAATTTTGATTTTCCATCAATGGATCTTGCACAAAATAAATGTTTAATAGATAATAGTCATTGAACCACATTTGTTTTTACTTATCAAAGTAAGTTGTAAGACTTTTAAAAAATTATTCTACTTGTATATTTATATCCGTGTTATTGTTTAAAATGTCTATTAGATATATACTCAAGTTTTCTTATCCCTAGTATATATTTAAAAAAAGGAGACTGAGGGAAATGTATTGATACCTATGCCTCCTAGTGGACTGTCAGTTGACTAGTGGCAATTTTAAATTCAGAAATGCTCAATGGCACCTTGTGGGTAGGTGGAGGGAGAATGCAGAGAAACCGAAAGGTATTATTGCTGTTAGGAAGTCCTTTACTAATTTTCTTATCAAACTGATAAAAATTAATGCTGAGATATTAGTGAACATTATGTACTCTCAGTAGTGTTTCTGGAAAGTCATTTGGGGAATTTTAACATGGACATCAAAGTATTAACAGTTTCTAACCTATTATTTCCTATGTCTTTCCTTGGACATAATATAAAACTCAAAGACTTAATGCCAAAAGATGATCATTGCAGCTTATGGAAATTGGAAATGACAAAAAATAATCTAACTATAAATAGTGGTTAACTAAATTATACAGCCACAACATATATTATTATGGAGTTAATTCAAGTCATTTTAAAGTTTGACAGAAAGTCTTTGACAGCAGGTCTTATCTCTAGTTTTGTTTACACGGTTTCTCCCCATATCCTTGAATTCATCTGGTGCATAGGATGTGCCCAAAAATAAAAACCAAAAAAAAACCTTTGATGAACACATGAATATAGTATTAAATTTTTTAAAAGGCAGGATAGTCTTAATATATCAACAATATAAAATAATATAAATATAAATATTTATATAAATATAAGAGAGAAGTAAACTAAACTTTTAACAATTATGTAAACAGTAGGATTTAATTTTTATTTTTCACAAATTTCTATATTCTCTCCATTTTCTACAGTTCTGTCAGCAAAAATTTGTTGCATGCCTCCTTTGTGCCAGGTGCTAATTTAGACACAGGGAGTATGTAGTGGTGGGAAAACCAGACACAGTCCTTGTCCTCAATGTATGTAGTCCACATGAATATATTTTATATTCAAAATGGAAAAAAAAAAAAGCACACTTTGGAAAAAGTATATCTTACCACCATTTACTCTCCTTCAGAACTGATCATTCAGATTTCCCTGAAATCACATTAAAACTGTTGAAAGTTTAGGCTGCTAAGAGGGATACTAAATGAGAACAAGGGTTCTTTTGTTGATAGAGTAGACCTTTAGAATGTATCTCCTTCAAGCATTAAATGCTGCTAATAGCAATGAGGACAGTATTTTTATTAACGTCAGGAAAAACTTTGAATACTATTTTATTAGCTACCTATGCCTTAAAATTTAGGCTTTCGGTAGTCTTTCTGATAATCACTAGCTGCCTTTTTTCCCCATTGAGTGCTCGCAATGTGCCAGGCATCACTATAGCACTTTACTTGTACAACCTCAATTAACAGGAAAGGTCTGTAATAGGTACTGTTAGGGCCATTTTAGCAACATAGAAATTGAGGCCCCTAGAGGTTAAATAACTTGTCTAGGTTCACTCAAGTAGTCACTGCTAGGGTCTGGGCTCAGAGTCTGAGAGCTTGTGGTCTTAACCATTACATTAGTTAGTCAGTTATGGAAGTCCCTGAATTCATTTGGTGACTAAAAGAAGAAAGAGTGAACTAAGCTTCAGTGGTTTGCAGAGACAGGCATTGGGTGTTATCAAGGACAGTATTTAGTGATACGATGAGAGTATCTCTTGTTTTTAATTACACATGTTCTATATATTGATTCATTATTTTCAAAGTAACATAACTATCTGTTTTCCAAAAAAGATTCTTAAAACCTGTCTTTTTCTCTATAGCTTGACTCATGGTATGTTATTTTAAATGGCACTGTAGAAATCAGCCATTCAGATGGAAAAGTTGAAAATCTCTTTATGGGAAATAGTTTTGGAATTACTCCTACTCTGGATAAGCAGTACATGAATGGAATTGTTAGGACCAAAGTAGATGACTGTCAGGTAAGCTTATCCCTTTGGTCATGCACTCTCGTTTGTTGACTTAAAATGGCTGAGCCTGTTTTTCCTTCCTTAAAATAAAATAGCTTTGAAAAGTACATGTTTCAAAAGCTCACAGTTAATAAAGGAAATGAAGTTTTATATGTCACATGTTTGTGAAACTGAATAAGTTGTAAACTTTTAAAAGAGCACATAACAAATAAACGTTGGTTTGTTAAATTTTCTGATATTAGCCAGCTTATTCCTTTTTTTAGTTAAATAAAAGAAAGAAATAGGAACTTCTGAGTTGTTTCTAATTCCTGCTTCATGTTTTCTTTGCATAGTGTAAGTTTTGAGAGTAGTTTTTCACTTCTCCTTTTAGAGCAGAATTCAAATTCAAAAAGTTCTTGGTCTCTTCGTGCATGAATTATTTATTTTTATCTTGATTTTTGTTAAGGATTGAAAGGCTTGCATAAAAAAACCAATGCCACTGGATTTCTTGCCTTTGTGCTCTGCCTTAGTGCGTAGTGATGTATTTATGTACTATAGATTTATTAGTTGTCCCCATGTTGTTCTCGGACAGTTTGTCTGCATAGCCCAGCAGGATTATTGGAGAATTTTAAATCATGTGGAAAAAAATACCCATAAAGTTGAGGAAGAGGGAGAAATTGTTATGGTGCATGAACACCGTGAACTAGACCGGAGCGGAACCAGGAAAGGACACATTGTAATCAAGGTGGGTGTTTTTACTTATTATTATTCTAGTCACTGATAGAATAAGGCTTTCATCTTGACTAGAAGGCTTTTGAAATACTTTTTGAGTAGTGCAAGATAATTGACTAACTTTGAAATCTAATTTAAATAACTGTATTGGTTCTTTTTGCCTTTTCCTAAGCTGGTTTTTACACATTTTAATGAAGAAGAGTGACATTGCTGTTTAAAATCAGTATGGATAGGATTTTATTTTAGCATATACAAGTCAAAGTTTTTCTTCTTAAATTCATTTTATGATCCATTGATAATGAGAGTTAATTTCATCAAAGACAGCTATATTTCTGAAACAAAACAAAACGAAAGGACCAGCCATAAAGGCGTAATGAAGCGTAGGTGGAGGTGCAGGCAGCGCTTAGTGGGCCTCTAGAGCCTCTGCTCGGACGGAGCCAGCAAACGTGTCCGTGCTAACTGTAAATGCACGCACATCTGTAACGTTCATGTCTCTGTCCATCAAACGGTCACATTCCCGAGCTCATGCCAGTGCTCCCAGTTTCATTGTTACACTACAGTTCCCAAGCCTTTCCTTTCCATGTCTGTAAATACCTTCCCCAACAATGACTCTTTTTATATTCTGTGCAGTTACTTATTTGCTTTTTGTAAGCAATCTCTGCATGCCAGCCATGCCCTTCTCCTGCCAACTCTGGACCCCCTGTCTCCCAGCATCCCTCCTTATTGGATGCTAACGTGCACCCCAGTGATGTGCCTTTACATGACTCTGCGACTCATCTTTACCTAAAGTTTTAAATATGTGGCCTAGCCTCCACGTGTGTCCTGCCTCAAGGGGGTAGCCCAGCAGCCTTCAGTCTTTTTCATCTCATGGTACATGTAAACTGCTTAAAATTCTGCAGCACATCAAAAAAAAAAAAATATATATATATATATGTGTGTGTGTGTGTATGTGTATGTATATATATTTGGTATTTTTTGCCGATCTGACACAAAAAAAGGTATAATTTTGATTTATTCACATTGGTTGGCTGTTGTTAGGTTGACTGTTATCAGTTTTTTTAATTTGACAATCTGAGGGAAAAGAGGTCAGTGCCCCTGACTTAAATTTCAGGTATTGCATGCTTTAAAAATCCTTGTGGCTCACCATTTGAAAATTGCTGATTTAGCCAGTCAGAATAATGGCCTTTAACATGTTGATCATTTCCACCTGACTTAGCTACATGATCTTAAGAACCAGATTTAAGTGACTTCAAATTATGATTGGTCTAAAAGACCCTAAATGATAAACCCAGTTTGGTACTTTTAAGAGTATTTCGGGTGGAGAATATTAGGAATGGTGTGTGGTTGCCTTGTCCCTTATATATTGACTAGATTATATGAAGAGCCTTACTTCGGACTTCCTGCTAGAGGAATGCTTTATATACAGCGTACCTACCTTTTTTAAAAAGTAAATTCTTAGATACGAACATTGTCAGTTAATTAGCCTTTGTTTTCTGTACGGCTTTTCTGACCCATGAACTGTTTGGATGAATGAAGCAAATTGAAATTTGAGGTTATGGGCAGCAGTCGGTTTTTATACTTGGCTTAACATTTGGTTTATTTCTAAATTTGTTCAGTGTACCCACTTTTGAAAAGGCTTGCTAAGGTAATAAATTTGAACTTCAATTTAGAAGCTCGAAGATGAACAGTAGGTAAATGTTGTTTATATTCCTTTTCATAAATTTGGAGGCAGGCAAGCAGTTAAAACTCTGAATTAATGTAAAAACTCTTTAGAACTTCTGGTTTCTCTGAGGATGGTGCGCTAGCATGGATAAACTATAGAAGAGGAAACTTCTATTCTGGGAAGTAACACCAGTAAAACATGCTGTTCTGAACTGATGTGTTTTTCCTCTGGTCATAGGCAGGCAAAAGAAAATTTGGAATAAGATTAAATTTGGAGGAAGGTTTTTTGTTGTTTTGTTTTTGTTTTTCTTTAACTCTCACATCTTCCTTCCACTCCCCCGAGGCAAGTCATCATTGCATCCCTCCACTGCAGTATAATAGGCAGTAGCAGTCCACACCAGGGTAGATCAGTGAAGTTCAAAAGCCCTGCTGTAAAGAAATGCCAATAAAACCAGATTCAGCTGAGTAAATTTTTATTCCCCTGCCTTTCTTCTCTTTAAACCTCTGGGCACTGATGCATTACAACCTATAGAGACTACCTAATTCCAGTGCCAAGTGTTTTAAAGGTGAAACTCTTTGAGGACTTGTCTAGTAGAGTAGCTACAAAGGAACGTGATTAATAGGAATCCTTTCATTTTTGAGCTATTTGTTTATTTTCTGATCTTTTCTATCCTTGGATTTTTAGGCAACGCCTGAGCGTCTCATCATGCATTTGATAGAAGAGCATTCCATTGTGGACCCAACTTACATAGAAGATTTTCTATTAACTTATAGGACATTTCTTGAAAGCCCTTTGGATGTTGGGATCAAACTTTTGGAATGGTTTAAAATTGACAGCTTAAGGGATAAGGTGGGTTTTATAAATATAAAAAGCATGAAAGTGATTTAGACCTTTAAATTTTACTCATATAACCTTTTGCAGTTAATCAATTAAATGTTTATTTTATTTTGATAAGATTCCATTCCCTTGAACCAATATTAATGTATCACTGTGTAGTTAGTTACCTTTATGACAAAATAACATGTTAAAATTGGATGTGAGCTCTAAAAGACAAAGGCTGAAATAAGGTTACAGTGGAGCTGTAAATTCAGAAAACGTGATAGACACATGAGAGTTTTGAACTTTTTCAAAATATTTAGTTGTTTCTGAAGGAGATTTAAAGGCTGATTAATAGTTTAGAAGGAATAGTCACCAAATAAATTTTTTCAAGAGGACTTAGATTGTGTGTAAGCCCCAAAATAGAATATGTTGATTTTTCTTATTTATATAATCATTTGAAACAGTTCATCTTTTTTACCTTAATTTATATCTACTTTTGAGTATTTAAATCTGCTTATTTAAATCTACTTTTGAGTATTTTTTGCATTAAACATTGTTTGCTATTTGAAATAGATTATCTTCTTTCATGGGAGATTTATACATGTAATGAAAAGACTAGTAATACCTTGCAAATAGGAGAAATTCAATTATTTTAAGAAACATAAAAGTCGGGCCATAATTGTCTAATGTGTCTGTTATATTTTAAGGAAATATGTTAGACATAGCTGGACTATGGAATTCTATCGTTTAGGAAGCTAGAGTATCCAAAACTACAGGCTTACCCCCTCACACACTCTTTAGAATTACAAATGGCTGAGTAAATAAAGCATGCTAAAAATAAACAAAAATGATTTGAAGACAAATAGATATCCACATGCAAAAGAATAAAGTAGGATCCTTACTTTACACCATATATAACATTAACTCAAAAGGAATGAGAGACCTGAATATAAGAGCTAAAACTATAAAACTCTTAGAAAAGAAAGGGTAAAAAAGTCATAACTTTAAATTTGATAAGGTTTTTTTAGATGTGATACCCAAAGAATAAGCAACAAAGGAAAAAAAAATTGGTAAATTGAATTTCATCAAAATTAGAATGTGGTGAAGCCATATAATGAAATATTATTTAGTCTTTAAAAGGAATAAAATACATGTATGGTCTTTGAAAACAATATGATGCTAAGTGAAAAGCCAGATACAAAAGTTTACATATTATATGAATATTGAAAATCGGCAAATACAGAGGGACAGAAAAGCAAATTAGTGGCTGGAGAGAGGCCTAATGAGTGTTGCCTGCGTCCTGGGCCTGGGAGGTGGAAACGCTGTGGGACAGGGCATGGTGAGGGCCGTGCCACCGTGGGTGTGCCCAGCACCAGCACGAAAAGCGGGTAAATGGCGGATTTAATGTGTGTTCCACCACAGTTTCTTAAATGTGTAACTTAAAATGTGTTATTATCTAGGCACATTATTCAGTTCAACTTTCATTCGAATTTAAAATAATTCTGTAAAATCATTTCACAACTTTGAAAACTCACAGTATTTGTAAGTGAAAATTCTGATTTGTTTTTGTTATAATTTTGGTTAAATATGTTCTTGGCTATAGAGACACTTTTGATAATGGTTACCTGCCCTTAGAAGCTTGCATTTTAAGATAATGTCTGATGAAATATACATCCCATGTACTTACTCGCATCTTAACCTCCAGGCTTGTGTATCCTCACTGGGGACAAAGAGCCTTGGCCCTCTGTTACTTGTGTACCCAAGGAGACAAAAGCTCAAACTAAACCTTGTCTTTCTGTTAGAGTGAACCTTATGTGTACGGGAAGGGGGGTAGGAGGTGAGCCATGAAACTCAGTTTTAGACATGCTTTTGGAATCTACTTTTGAAAATGAGTGCCTCTCATAGCTGTACACTGCCTCCTTCATGTTCCCACAGGTAACACGGATTGTATTATTATGGGTAAATAACCACTTTAATGATTTTGAAGGTGATCCTGCTATGACTCGATTTCTGGAGGAATTTGAAAAAAACCTGGAAGATACAGTAAGGCTCAAAATAACTAACCTTTTTTTTCTTTTTTTAGAGTTTAGGGATTCCTCCCCCACTCTCTCCAAGAACAGCAATTCAGAACAGGTTTCATCTTCCCCTCTGTTTTGAATGTCTGTTCTGAGAACTTCCAAATCCATGTTTTATTCCTCCTCTCATCCTCTGCCCCTCCAGCCCAAATAAACATCATGCTTCCTCCTGACTCTTCTGTTTCTGCTCCAAGATCAGTGATAATGTTTTCTCCCAGCCACCCAGACTTATGCACTGTGGTGAATGTGCGGTCCCTCTCTTACTTGAATTCCCTGGCCAGGATGTCTGGTCAGCTGCTAAAGTCCCCTGGATACTGGTTTAGGCATACACCTGTTTCCCATGGTCTCTTGCTCAGCCATTGCTTCTTCACCACTTCCCAGTTTAGGGCTTCATTTCCTTATGCCCAATCTGTTATAACAGCCTCCTAATTTTAGTTCTAGTCTTTTCTTCCTTCTAGTCCATCCTTTGTGGCCAACAGATTGTTTTTAAATCACAAGTGAGGTGAATATTACTCTCTCCGTCAGTAAACCAAAGTATTTTTTACCAAAATAATTCATCACCCGTATTCAGGTCCCTCAGCTGTATGGTTGACCTTTTCATGTGCACCCGTCGTCGTAGCCAACCAGGTTACTTCGTGTTCTCTCCCAGTTCTCTCAGGATAGAATTGTCTTCTTCCAGTCTTGCTATTTGAAACTTCAAAGCCTATCTTACACATCATATCTACATTGGACTTTCTAGGTCTCCCTTTTGCATATGATTTCACTTATTCTAAATATCCATCACCTAAGATAGTCATGTCAAGGTCCTCTTAACTTTAACAGCAGCTGTTTATAAATCCATTTTATTCTCCCTGCTAGATATAAAAGTTTGAACTGCAGCTGGGTGGTCTGCTTCAAGCAAGTGCAATTATAGCAAGTAAAGACTAATACAGCTAAGGAATCACTGCCTGAATTAACACCCCAAACCCATCACTTGATATATGTGAATTTGGACAAGTTGCCTAAACTTCTGTGCTTCAGTTGTCTTATTTTATAGATAGTAGTTGCTAGTTTCTTGGGAATGTCAGGAGGATTATAATGAGCTAATGAATGTAACAGTCTGAGAACAAAACCTGGCACATAGCAAATGCTCAAGAATTACTGATATTATTCATAAAGTATAAGTGAATTGAGTTGTATAAAGATGGGGAAAATGGCAGATTTTTGTCCCTTTTCCTACTGCTTGGTTCCTGCAGCCTTTTGAGCATCACATTTGTTGTATGCAAAGTGGGGAGAAGGAACGGAACTGGGAACTTGATTGGAGGTCGCAGAGGCCGCCATCAGCCAGTCTTCTAGCGCTGGCTGTGTAGATACGCACAGGGCTCATGGGAAGTAGAAGCAGCCCTGAAGTCACGGGAATTTTTTTTTAAGTAATCAGCTAGTCATCAATCATTTATGGAATTCTACTTTAACCTTTAACTTCTTGTTATGGACATAAGGTTTATACATATTACACTATTTTAGAGTAGTTGAACATTAAAGTGTGTTAGAACTTGGAAATTAGAATATTACTAAGTTTAAGGAAGATCTAAAATAATACAGGAATAGCATTCCTTGAAGAGTTGGAGACATTAATGCATCTTTGAATAATAAACAATATTTGGAAAGGTGGTTCATGTCCTTGAAGGCTTTAAATAAAGGTTTAAAGAAGATTTGGATTTTATATAACAGCCAGGAGATACAAAAGATAAAACAGTATATATTAGGGAAAGTTAAGGAAATGAGGAGTAATTTTCTTGTCATTCCCCTCTAAATGAGACATCACTTTGAAATCTTTTCTAGCCTGTGATTATCTAGAAGTTTTCATAATGAGAGATTCTTGGGAGTGCTCTGGGGTGGAAGTTCTCTCCCTTCAGTTTTATTTACCCAGCTTACATGTTCTTAACTCTGTATTTCAAATATAGCTCTAATTCTAATAATTCTAGGTGATTTTTTAAAAGCCTGTAAGAGTAGATACAAGCATCTGTATACACTTTCCTCTTTTCTGCTTTCTAGAAAATGAATGGTCATCTCCGGTTATTGAATATCGCGTGTGCTGCAAAGGCCAAGTGGAGACAGGTTGTGCTGCAGAAGGCCTCCCGGGAGTCCCCTCTGCATTTCAGCCTTAATGGAGGGAGTGAGAAGGGATTTGGTATTTTTGTCGAAGGAGTAGAACCTGGTAGCAAAGCTGCTGACGCCGGACTGAAACGTGGGGATCAGGTAAGTCAGCGATTTTCAGCTGCTCCATCTCATGGCACACGTAAATTAATTACTAAAATTCTGCAGCACACCAGAAAAATACAGTTTTTGTCAGTCTGACAAAAAGAAAGTAGGTGTAACTTAGATTTCTTCACACTGGGTGACTATTTTTGTGTGACTTTTGTCATTTTTTTATTTGACAATCTAAGAGAAAAGAGGTCATTGCCCCTGACTAAATAGTCAGATATGGCATGTTTTAAACATTCTTGCAGCACACAGGTTGAAAATCTCTGAGGTAAGTGAATGACCAACCACTTAAGTTAGAGTCTTCCTCTAAGTGATATGCCTGCTGCTTTTTTCTCACCTGGGAGTTCTTTACATAAGCATGATCAATTGAAGGAAATACTGTTAGAGCTTCTTTTTTAGATATAGTATTTTAAATGGCTTATTTTTACAATATTATTTGCCATTTATCTGTAACTTTTAATGTGAAGTTTGCTAGAACATGGCCAGAAACAGGGTGGCCGTCTGGGCACTGGCAGCACGACACCTTTTGGAAGGGTCCTGCCCGTCCTCCAGGGGTTAGGAAGCTCTGTGCCTGGCCACTGTGAGTTAGCACCCTTCCACTCATAGCAGCCTCTAATGTAAGTACCCTGAGATGACCATAAACGATGGTTTCAGCTTAAATAATGTTCCTACGTTAACAACTACATTCATAAGCAGGGAGCCAGGTAGGAGACTAGGAAAAAGAAGAGACTGGAAGAAAGTTGGTAGGTATTTATTCTCTCCCTATAGGCATTAGGAAACTGTAGAGTAATGTATTAAAATGTGATTACCCACAACCTTATTACTAAGAAATGCAATTCCTAGGCTCTCACCAGTCCTATTAATCATACTAATCGCATTCTCCAGAGATGAAGCCTGGGAATGTGATTTTTAACAAAGCTCTCTAGACAATTCTCCTGTACGGCAAAGCACGGTTTCCCAAATCTAGCTGAAATACCTGGGAAGCTTGCTTTTTCTCATTTGAAATTTTTGTTAGTTCACTCACTAATTTAGAATGTGGCTTTATTTTACTTTTAACTGAATCATACTATTATTTTTAAAAATGGTGAGGCAGTCACATTAGAAGTTGTTCTATACCTCAGAACAGTGGATCTCAGCCAGGGGTGACTTTGCCCCCCAGGGGACGTTTGGCAATGCCTGGAGACATTTTCAGTTGCCGTGACTTGGGGATTAATACTAGCATCTAGTGGACAGAGGCCAGGATTGCTGCTATGCAGCCTGCAGCACCCCCAGCAGGGCAGCCCCCACAACAGAGTCATCCAGCCCAGTCAGTAATGCAGGGGGTTAGGAAACTCTGGTATCAAGTTATGATCCCCTCTTTTCCTTTAGGAAGCTTTTTTAAAAAAGTTTCTGGGCCTTACTTACTAAGAATATCTAGTGCTTAGGATCATGAAATCAGTATATTTATTGTTCCAGGATTTTATTGTAAACACATTAAAGAATCTCATTCTTTATAGAAAAACACTGAAATTCAATGATTTCATTCTTGAAAGAAGAAGGAGATTTATCATGCTTTTACTTCTTCCTTCAGCCCTCCCAATTATTGTTGAAATTATCTGAGATTTTAGATCTAGAATATTGTCATTTTTAACATTTTTTATAAAAAGTTTTACAAATTTATTACGTAGTTATTTAGACATACACCTAATTCAAGGATTGCATCGATCACCTGCATTTCATCTATGCCATGTTTCCATTATTTTGATTCTTCTCACAGTGCCTTCTGGTACTTTTTTCAAAAAGGACAAGTGGGTGCTGTTAGTTTTATGTGTCATTGTATGACTGATAATGCTTTTGTTCACTGGAGTATAAAACTCTTGATCACAGTTATTTTTCCCCTAGAACTTTTAAACATGAATAAATATCACATCATCTTGGTGTTTGTTGCTCAAGATAAGTCCAGACCAATCTTTATTTTTCTTTTCTAGGCACCTTTGGTCCCCACCCCACCCCCTTGCAATGATGCTTGTAGTTTCTTGTTTTCTGTCCTTGGAATTCAAAATTTTCATGATATGTTTAAAAATCTCTGTATTTATTCTTCTTCTTCTTCTTTTTCTTTTTTTAAATGTACCAGATAATCCAGTTCAGTATGTAGACAAGACTTTTTCAACTCTGGGAATTTTATCTCTGTTATTTTTTTTCTTTTCCTAAATTTTGTTTCTCACACTTTTTCTTTTAAATCTTTTTGGAATCTCAGTCAGCCCCGTAGATCTGTCCTCTGTGCTGCTGCTTTTTTACTCATTGTGTTTATCTCTTTATTCTTTTTCATTGGAATTATTAATAGTACTTTTAAAGTAAGCTTCCTGTGCGATTTTGAGGTACTGCAAGTTTGGGAAGCCCTTCTTTGAAGGGTCAGCGGTGTCACATGGAAGAAGAACCAAACTGCACTTGGTGCTGGTTGCTTTTGGACTGCCAGATTCAGTCAATGGCAGGAAATGTTATTAAAAGTATTTCGAGTACAAAAAAGCAATAAATTTGCACTCAGAAAGTTTAAAATTTGTATGCACACAGGCAATAATTTTTATGAGCTGATGACATGATTAAAATTTTTTCTTCCTATAACCTGTGTTATTTTTAAATTTCCCTACGATGATCTCAGAGGGAATGAACTTTTAAAAAAATGTTTATAGTAGAGATTTATAGAAATACTATGTAGATAAAGTTAAACAGTAATCCCACTTCTCACAGAGATAATCATTGTTCACTTAGAGGTACATTTTATTCAAGTTTCATTCTTTTTTTTTTTTTTTTAATATTTAAAGTTTTAGAGGTAACCATATTGTTTTTGTCTTAATTTGTATTTTTTAAATACTTTTCTGAAGATAATGGAAGTAAATGGACAAAACTTTGAGAATATTACATTTGTGAAGGCCCTTGAAATTTTAAGGAATAATACTCACCTTGCACTTACTGTAAAGACCAACATTTTTGGTAAGTTTTGCTGAAAAAACTCTAAGCCTGCTTGCTTTATTTTTTGTAATGGAAAACAGAAGAGTCATTACAATGAAAACAAGTAAAATGTAAACATGTTTATATGTAAGCTGCTTGAACATTTTTAGGATCTTTGGTGTTGATATATAATATTATATATTCTAGAATTTTAATTTTTATTATTTGTATTTAATTATTATTTTGATATCTTAGTACATTTTAAAACACATGTACAACTATATTCAGTCAGTCATTTATAAAATGCCCACTGAGTAGCTATCATGTACTGTGCTTACTTGTGGAAGATACTGAGTGAGACTTAAAATGACCTGAATGAAACTTCCAAGTCAGAATTAGGCTCCCCCACCCACCCACCACAATGTGCCAATCAACAAATCAGTCTGCTTCTACTGTTTTAGCTGGTTTTCTGAAATAATAACACGAATGCCAAATCGACTGTTTCATGGATATAAATTGAGTAAAACATTGACATAATTAAGCGGTAAATTACACATTTTTAATAATAACATACTCTACTTTTATGTAAAAATACTGGTTATTGTGCCTGAAGTGTGTCTTGATCCTGTTTATATTTGAGCGAAGGACTAAGCCTGTACTTTTAACTTAATCTACTTTAAAAAAAAAACAACAAAACACTTAGGAACAACTTCTTGTAGTTCGGTTTAATTGAATAACATTAGATTTGTCTTGAAATTCTGAGGATGGCAATGGTATAACAATAGAAACCTATCAAAGAAAATTTGAGTCCTTACAAAGTAGGGGGGAAAATTCCTCTAAGTCATTTAGGTTGAAATTTAAGAAATAAGAATTAAATTCAAAAGCTCTGCCTATGGAAAAGGAAGTGTGTTCTGTTTTTCCCTCTTTGGCCCCTCTTAATGCTGCGCTTAGTCATAATGAAAAATGAAACGTGTTATTTTTCCTCATTTCACTTGAGTTCCTTTTACTGAATTATATCATGTGAAGTCTGGTAAACAACTGTCTATTCACAATTTCTAATATTATATTAAGCAACAAATAAATAAGCTTTGCCAGATTTTGGATTTCCTGGACCTTAGAACTTGTATCTAGAGCCATCAACTTCTGGGTTAAACTAAGAGGATTCTGATTTTGAAAAATATAACAGCAGAGCTTGCTCTGGCACCACGACCAAATTATTTAGTCTCTATTTCATAGGGTTCTTATAACTTTAACTTTTGAACCTGACACATAATAATTACTAACTGGTATGAAGTATTATGTATAAAAATACAAAAATAGTATAATACAGTGTTTAACAACATGGACCTTGGGAGACAGTAAAATTGATCTGATGGATGCAACCCTACTACTAATAGAGATGCCCATGGCAAAAAGTGACTCTGCTTTTGGGCTGGGCTCGGTTCCTGTTTCTAGGGCACTGCTCACAGCCCTCCCAGATTCCCAGTCACCCGCTTCCTGCTCTGGGACTTTTTAGTTCTTCGCTTCCTCTTGGTTTTCACAACTTTCTAGCATCTTTTAAACCACCCCCCCACCCCCGTTAATTTATTATTAGCATTTAAATTTTTTGCATGCAAGTAATATGGGGATATGTTTTGATAATTAAAACACTGAAGAAAGATACACCATGGAAGCACACAATGTGAAGTGTCCTTCCTGCACCTTCCCACATCACTTCATACAGGTTGACCTCTTGTATAGAATGCATAGAATGTCATTGCATTGCCGTTATCTCTTGAGCTGATGTCATGCAGATGGATGTTTTAGCTTATTATCAGTTTTGCTTTTGATAGTGATGTAATGAAAATTCTTTGTACTTAATGTTTCATGCTTATATCGACACCTATACATTTCTCAAAGTGAAATTACTCTGACAATTGCTAGAGAATTTTACTTTCCAAACGTTTGCCCCTGTCTGCCCGCTGCCCGCCCTCCATCAGTGTGTGAGACGGCCTCCACAGTGGGCGGGATCGGCTTCGTGGATGCTGCTGCTGCTGCGGCGTGCTCTGAACAATGAGCGTGGCTGAGCTCCTTTATACATCTCTGAATCTTTCCTATTTACAAATGGTCTTTTTATTTGTCCATTTTTATATTGAGCTATTCATCTCGATTCATTTGAATGTCCTGTTATCTTAAGGTTATAAATATTTTCCCCAAGTTATTTGTCCTTTGACTTTTTTATTTGTGTGTACGTACGTGTACGTACACACACACACACACACACACACACACCCACCCCCACCCCCACCCCCAAATGTGTTAAACTTTTATTGATTCTCGTTTCTGACCTGCATGTTATATCTAATATTACTCTTTAATGGTGTTGTATTATAGTTACATTTACTCACCATCTGTTCATGTTTGTCCTTAACTAATATTTTTTAATTCAACACAGTCATTTCTCTTCTTTATCTACAAATCAGAAGCTCCACAGATTTTTACTTATAATTATATACTCAAGTCCAGCGAAGATATAAACTACTTTGTACACTATTGGAGTCGCCTTAATACACAGCACAGCCAGGGATAACTGCTGCTCTTCCGGAGATCTGCTGCTCTTAACAGAAAATTCAAACACCTCACCAAAGCATTATCAGGCCACTTTTCTACCTTGGTCTCTAGTTGTCTTCATTTCTTGAACATTTCCTTTTACCACATGGCCTTTGGACTAGAGATTTCCTCTACCTAGAATAGTTCCTCCCTCCCTTCCGTTGCCTAGTTTAAAGGTACTCACCTTCTTGACCTCTTCTTACAGAGTGACTTAATTAGGGAAGATTTTCCCTTCCCTGCTGCTTTAGTCCCTCCCATGTGTTCTCTGCCCCGGCGTGCTCTCTCTACCTCAGTCTGACTGTGTGCCACAACAGCAGCCCTCAGCCGGCACCTGGTACAGTGCCTGACATGTGTTTGTAGGCCAGTAAGTGTTTCTTAAATGGATGGATATCTTGATTTTAGCTCAAAAAAGCATTTCTCTCTTTACCACATGGCTTAAAATAAAGTGAAATTTAGAAATAGAAACTGAAAGGAATTTCTTGTATTTTAATCAAGCAGAGGATCTTTGAAAGGTGACTCCTAAAGGTTTCCATTATTTTGAAAGCAGAAAATGTGCTTTTCATGAGCTTGCAACATGCTTTGGTAATGTGAAATCATTCTGGTTGGAACTTTCAAAATGGCCCAGTTTTACAACTGAAAACCAAACTGTATATGGTTATAATGTGTCAATTCTTAAGGCATTGTCCATTTGAATCTTACTTGTTAGTCCTTGATGTTGTGGAAAACTGACTGGTCCCCCCCCAAATAACAGAGGATTGCAGTTCTCTGTGGCTGGGGTTTCAGTGGGCACGTTTACACACACTGCTGCTCAGGCCGCGCCTGCTCATGAGCTGAGGTGCCGCATCTCGTGGGGCTGCGGCCAGCCGTTCACAAGCACGCCACCAGCGCCCTCCTCTCCTGAAGACCCTGCAGGCACCACCGCCGGTGTTTAGAAAATTGCCTTCTACTTAGCATTTCTCTTTTTAGTGTTTTTTTTCTCTAGTCGTTATCTGTCTTATTTAAGAACAGACATTTAAAACAATGGCAACTAAAACATCTTTTCCACGTCATTGCTTTAATGTAAAAACGTGGTAGGCTTTTCTAACTGGAAAATGAGTAACAGCTTCTAGATATTTAGCCTTATACAGATATATCTTTCTTTTGCCTGATTCCAGGGAGATACAGCTCCTCTCACAAGGGGAAAAATTGCTTCTAGGCAAACAGGTTGCTAGGCAGGCAAGTCCAGTAATGCACTTGCATCCTCCTTAAGGATGAAATAACTCACAGACTTAGGGTTGATAGAAAGTTCTCTAAGGATATTTTGTTTTTTTATACTTCAGACCACTGTAGTGAATGTTTATTAGTTGCTTTATTTTTACTGAGTGACATAAGTCTTATGCACGTGACATGGAGGAAATTGTCATATGTTAGTAAATATAGTACTATTTATTTCTGGTAAAAACAGGTCAAGCAAAGCTCTTCCCATTTTTTAAATGGCTAAATTTTGCAAAACTGAGCCTGATAAGAGTATATCTCATTTCATCTCATCTTATCATTAGAAATAAGCTAAATAATAGAATCTAAGTACATGTTTTAATAAAATCTGAGTTGATTAGCAGTTATTTTGCTTATTTCCTAAATAGGCACCCCTGAACTTCTCAAACATGCTGGTAGTCTGTCTACTTCCTTTCCGTTTTCCTCAGCTGCTTTTATCTTTTTAATCACTTCTGGACAATATCAGGAGTATAGTCAGGTATAAAAATTGAAAAGAAAGGTGGGTAGAACTGATCAAGGATGGCTATAAATTTCATTAATAAGGCTGTGAACGGCCAAGTGAGAGTATGTGACTTATTTTCCTTAAAATTTGTTTATATAAAAACTCTCTAATCTGAAGAAATGACTGTTTGTTTATTTCCACAGTATTCAAAGAGCTGCTTAGTAGGACTGAACAAGAAAAATCTGGTGTTCCTCATATTCCCAAAATTGCTGAAAAAAGAAGTAATCGCCATTCAATCCAGGATGTACCAGGAGATATTGAGCAGATGCCACAGGAGAAGGGACATAAGAAAGTAAAAGCAAATACTGTTTCAGGTGGAAGAAACAAAATCAGGAAAATTTTGGATAAAACACGATTTAGTATCTTGCCTCCCAAACTCTTTAGGTATGTAATGCCATTCTCAGTCACATGGGCTTTTCCTGTCGACTGTAAAATTTATATTTTGGGGGAGGGAAGTTTGGGTCCATTTCTATTTTAATACAGTACTGCATCTTAAAATCTACAGGCAATCTGTAAATAAGACAGAATAAATTCTGAGTGTCTCTCCATCTTTTCCATGGAAGTTACCGCTGTTAGATTATATAGTCTTCCATTAGCTTTGTTTTGAGTTTTAGAATAAACTGCCTGTTTTATTTTATAACATCTTTTTTTGTATACTTTTGCTACAGTTTCGGTCTCTTGACCTACAGATTTGGACACCCTAAATCTTAGGACACATTCACTAATTGTACTTTTTTGCCTTTTAAATTATCTTTTTCTTATTGCACTATTTATTCCCTCTTGAATTCTAAAGCTGACCTATTAATCAAATCTATTTCCATTTCCAAAATGAGATGTCACTAAAACTGAGTAAAATTTCAAGATTCTCCATGTAAATTAAGATCTGTAACATACAGATGAAATCAGTCCACTGATGTGTGATGACTGGAAATGATTCTAGTATATATTATATCTGTGTATGTTTTACATCACTTCCTTAATAGCGAAAGTTCTAATCAAATATGGTACTTAGCACACAGCAGGCCGGCACAATTAATCAGTGAAAGAAAGCAAGCGTATTCAAACAAAGCATGCTCAAAGAAAACCCTTATTTGGCTTCTGATATTCCTGGCACTATGACAGATGATAATTATAGAAAAGAGGTAGTTCCTACCTCTAAGCAGTTCATAGCAACTCTTTATTCTTCTCATATTTATTATATTTTAGCACAATGTCCAGAGATAGAAATGCAGAGAGATAAGTAGGACAAGTTTCTTGTCCTTTAAGAGTTGATTATCTAAAAGAGAAAGCAGGCCAGTGGTGCTTTAGTCGATGGTAAATGTTTTGACAGGTACAAAGGCAGCCACCAGCCTGGTTGGTCTGAGTAGCCCTTTGGTGCATGCACACCCAAAGGCGGGGCACAAGAGAGAGGCAAGTGCTAGGTTATGAAGGACTCTGAGTACTGTGCCAAAGACAAGGACTTCTTCATGGCATAGTAGGGAGCCAGAGAGGATGGATGATGTGATAAGATTCGTGCTTTTAGGAGCTTCTCTGTTAGTGTGCTTGGAGTTTGGGGTTGAAGGTGCAGCACAATTAGCAGTAGTAGCAAAGAGACTAATGAGGAGGCCACTCTGAAATAGGTAAATGTCAGCTATCATCAGTTACATCAAGATCTCAAAAGATTTCCTGATGGGAAAGCGTTCTCCTTTTTGAGATGTTATTTCCGGCCAGGGAAACATATTTACTGTTCATTTAATTTGGGGCTCACAGAGGATTGAAAACATCCTGAGCTCTGTTCTTAATGTCACTCATTTTAGAAGGGTTATTACTCATTCCTTTCTGAATGACTCCTCTCCTTGAGGTGAGTGGTCTATAAAAACCGTTACTTTAAAATAGCAAAGTTCTTACTTACTGAGCACATGTAGCAGCACAGCAAACACTGTTAAGGGGAAGCTTGTTCTCACAAGTGAGCAATGAGTAAGGACAGTGTGAGAGGGCCAGCCCCCACTGAAGAGATGGGGACAGTTTAGGATGACCGGAAGTGGCTGTATGAAGACACGAGGGGAAAGAAGAGAGAATGGAGGGCGGGGAGGCAGGAAAGAGGGCACAAGGGGAGTTCCTCAGAGGGCAGGGCCCTGGGTTCCAGAAACCCTCGTGGGTTTGCTCTGGAATCCATGGATGTCCTTTAAGTGGTTCTCATTTTGAACAGTGGCACAGTTGTGACATGTGTCATCAAAAACAAGAGGGCACTGATTGTAACCGACTTTAGCTTGTTACTGTGACATTCCACCCAGCTCTGCTCAGGCTTCAGGCAGGGCAGTCCGTCACTTGTGTCCACAGAACCTCTTCAAGGTGCAGGACTCAGTTACTCCACTGGGGCATTTTGCCAGACATTCAGTCCTATCTGGAGATGTCCAAACTCAAAAAATGTCCCTGAGGTCACATAGCCTGTAACGTTTATTATCACTTTTGGTTTACAGGATTAATCCACAAGAAATGCTATTGTGTTTTGTTGATCTAAGAACTGTTGTGGCTGTATTGCCAATAGTAATCCTTCCTGCCTCAGTAGCCTAGGTGGGTCAGGATTCGGACTGGATTTGAATACCAAGGACCATTTTGGCATGGACCACATGTCTCTGTGGGCGTTTGGACAGGACCACCCGCCCTCCAGTCCTTGGGTTCTGCCTTTGATTACAGCAGAGGCATGGAAATTGCAGTGTCTAGGATCTGTCATTGGAGTATTTTCAAGTATTATTTCTTTATATTGGTACCAAAAAGATGAAAGATCTAGTAGGAATAGTTTTACTTAAACTCAGAAAAGTTTTTTTCACTTATTAGTCAACAAATATTTATTGGGTCTCTTGCTCTGTGCAGCTAGGAGGCTGATGGCTGTGGACACAGACATGAATAAAGTGCTGCCCTTCAGGGGTTAGAATTAAACTGCCATCTCTTCTAAACATGTTTTCATTATTAAGTAAGACATATTAAGTTCAGCCATATATATATATATACCAAAAAATAGATTGTTTTAGTAAAAATAAAGGTTTTCTACTGGAGTCTATTTTGCAGAGAGAATTAATTTGGCATTTTACCTTTCATCATGCCCACTTTTCATTTTTGAGAATGTAAGTCATAGTTTTAGGCACTTAGTCATTAAAAATGAATTCAGACAATCCCTTCTGCCACACACACAAAAGAATCACCAGACAGAAAACATCAACAGAAAAACAGTATATGGATCAGATGTTCTGTATCAATAATAATCACGGATGTACTGTTTAGAACAGGAAACTGTTTAAGATTGGTAAAGAGAATCTTTAGGGCCAGAACTGATAGCATAAGATAGATAATCTCAAACTGCTGTGGAAGTATAAAATGATGCAGCCTTTCTATAGAGCATTCGGGGAGTTTTTTAAGAGCTTTAAAAGTGTTCATACCTTTGACTCAGTAATTCCATTTCTAGTAATAATTAGATGAAGGTTTATATATGGATGTTCTTAGGAATGTTATCTGTAATACAATAAAACAAAATTGGAAATACCCTAAATGTTTAACTACAAGGAATTAGTTAAATAATAATGCTATAGATGCTGCAAAATGACTAGAAGACAAATGTTGATTGTGGTTTCCACTAAGGTACAGTTTTATAGGTAGTTTTTTCTTCCTTCTTGTTTTCTGTATTTTTAAAGTTTAAGACTTTGAATATTCATCTCTTTAGTGAGTTTAATCCCACAGTTTATGAACATCTCCTACGTTGCAGGGCCCTTGCGAAGGGACACTCACTTCTCTAGGAGCAGGAGATCAGTTGTCATGGAAGCTCTGTAAGGGAGCATGTCTACAGAAAGTGAACGTGAGGGAGGAACAAATAGTCGCAATAGGAACAGTGATTCTCAAAATCCCTAACCGTGACATCGTTTTAAAAGGAAAGAATGTTCCTGAATATTAAAAGGGAAAAAAATTTTCTGATTTTGAATGGCATCGATAAATTAAGACGTAGCAGTGTGGTTTTTACTGGCCTGAAACTACTTCACAATTCATGAAATCTGATCTCCTATTTTTTTAATAACTCAGCTTTTATTTTGTTATCTTTAATCTTAGATTGCCTAAGTAACATCTTTCTATTATTCATTGTAACAGTCCCAGAAGTAGACTGTCTTGTTTGCTTATCAGAAATTAGTTTTTCTTCTCATTTCTTGTCAGCATACTTTTTTTTATTTGTCTTTAATATTGGGATTATTTTTTATTTGCATATTGATATTTATGCAGCCCTTGTAGTTTCATAATATAAAACTAAAAATATACTTTTAAGTAAATTTAGTGTCAGGAAATTATTGAGGAATTTTTCAAAACTGTCTTGTTTCTGTTACTGCATCACCACAGGAGACTATTTTGGTAAGAAATGACATAATTGTTTGCAAATAGGCTTTATTAATTCAGCTTCCAAGCAAGCATGGATATTTTGCCAATTAGATACTATTTCATTCATGTAACAGCATGGGTTATATTTAACATTAGTATAGCTTTCATTTACACATGCTCACACCTTAATTAACATGAATTTGCAACCAGCTTTGCATTATAACTGTACAGTGTCTTATCTATTGCTTATTATGAAGCAGAAGTAATGTTAAGTAGGATCAGTAAGAGAGGTAAGAACTTTGTGTACTTCATACACTTCTCTTAGTCTCTAAATTTCAGTCTGCTGCAGCTAATGTAGCCAATTCCCATTAATAAATAGAAAAGTGTAACATTTTAACATTGTTAAAATTATTTTTACTTCATTAGTACAACCAGCTAATCGCTTTAACTGTTTCCTTGGATTCAGTTACCTGACCCTCTCTGTCCCAAAATTGGCACATTTGTCTTCAAAAATATGTAAAAGACAGGCAGTTATATTTTTCAAAACACACACACAACCTTTTATTTTCAACATAATTTAACTTGCTACTAAGTTACTTATTAAACTAGAAATATTATAGCTGTGAAACCCTGCGCCACTCCTCCTCTTCCTCTAACCTAATCTTAAGACATTAAGATTCCTGATCTTCAGGAGTACACACCCAATGATAAGGAGCCAGTCTAGCATAAGCACAAATTACTTATTAAATAAGATACTTAATATCTTTGCCTTATCTATCCAAATAGAGTGCCTTCTCTCCCAGGAAAACACTTTCTGTTAATGCTTTTACCTGTCGTACCCACTGTGCACACCACTGTGTTTCAGTATGAACTACTTAAAATCTCTTCTTGTTTTTACCATTCTATTTTAATCTTGCTAAAAATACTCCACCACCTTCTTAAAAATAAGAATCCTATTTTCCTGTGTGCCAAATGTTTGCCTACGTTGTCTTAATTTAATCCTTACAGTAGTGCTGATAGTGTTAGTCCCATTTTTAGGTGAAGAAATCAAGATCTAGAAACAAAATTCCCTGAGGTCACACAGCTAATACCCCAGGTCCGTCTGGCATAGCTTGCTTTTGAGACACTTACCGTTGCTGTCATCCGTGTCCTGATGCTGCTTCCTGACTCCCCTGCTCTCTGACTTGTCCTGGCTCTCTCTTCCTTGTCTGGCTGTTAACAGTCCTTTAGCTGTTTTTTTTTAACAGTCGTCTTCACTCGATCTTGCAGTTTCCTAATCTGCTTAAACCCTATTTTTTTACCCCTAACTTATTCTCCCTCTATCCCGTATCACTCATCTTTAAGACAGACTGTAATCCATTCCATGCTAATAGGTAAGTGTTCTCTGATACCTCTGTTTGTATGTATGGCAAGTACAGGGTAGAATACTGCATTTAATAAAATTTAGGTGAGAGGTAATCTTAACCTAAAGCATTTGTTTTAACACAAGTATAACCCTTAGATACAAGTGGTATTTTGATTGTTGATGCTGATGGAAATTATTTCTTTTCATTGCTATTCTGTGTGTAGGACTGTTTTTCTCTTTCTGTGTTTTATAGGACTTTTATGTTTATGTAAAAGTTAAGTGACAGTTACGTTTCTTTGTTTTTATTTTTCTCTTAGTTATAGAATTATAAATGTAGCACTTTTAAATATTTTAAAGAAAAAGTATTTTATTTTGCTTAACTATGGCCATTTAACCTCTCCTCGTTTTTAAAAACTTTGAAGAGAATTAACTTTAGATGACTTGCTTTCTGTTCTGGTTTTGATGTTCTCATCCAGGAAACAGCCAAACCGAATTAAGAAATCACACAGGAAATAATGTGCCCTTAGAATAAAGACTAGAGACTATCAAATTCTTTTCTTCCATTTTCGTTTTGGGTCCTCTTTTTCCTTCTCCTTTCTATTTGTCACGTGTTTTCATTCTTGCTTGTTGCTCTTCTCTATGCCATCTTCCTGTTGTCTCCCTTCTTGGTTCGGGCATTCCTCGGGTTCATATTTTTAAAGACCTTTATTTTGTCACTTAAACTTGGCTCCATTGTTTTTTACAACCTCCCCTATTTTTCGTTCGGGTATAGACGCAACTCCATCCTTTGCCCAGGAGGTTGCCAGGCTTTTCTGTTGAGAGAGAGAACCTTGCTTTGGTGTTAGCTATGCAGTGTCGGATGCATACATTGGTGTCCACTGCTATGGGCAGATCTCAAAGGCTCCCTGAGCGCTCAGATTCAATTTTTGTACAAAACTAGCAGAAACTAACTATTTCTCTTTTGTGAAATAGAATTACTTAGATGTATATAAGTTAAGTTTTATTTCTGTCATTGTTAAAAATATTTTCCTGCTATTTTCATTATTACAGATGTCCTTTATAAAAAAAATTGGTATAATATTTTAATTGTTGAAAGTCATCACTTTGAATTGGTTCTATATGCTTTAGTGCACAGAGAACAGTGCTGTTTACTGCTAAGAGCCCTCAAATACTTTAAAGTGATATCACATTTTTTTGAAGTGATGGAGGCCTGAGCCAGTCCCAAGACGACAGCATTGTGGGAACGAGGCACTGTAGACACAGTCTGGCCATCATGCCCATCCCTGGCACACTGTCATCCAGCAGCCCGGACCTCCTGCAGCCAACCACCAGCATGCTGGATTTTTCCAATCCTTCAGGTGACTTCTGTTTGTCATTTTATATAGCAGTATTGTACCAAATGCACACATACCTGGTTAGGCCTTGTGCAGCAAATGCTAGATTTGCTTGCAGCCTTCTTTTCCCCACCTCCAAAAATTAAACAGAATATTATGCCTTCATGTCTAGCAGGAGTGATACTTCTTCAGTATGAAATTGAAGTGCATAAGAAAGAGATTACATTCGGGTATCTTTGGTAACCCCAATCACAACAATGGAATGAGAGCAGAAATCCTTCTTCTTAGCCAACAGCCATGTTATCCAGGCTGTGGAAGAAAATAAGGCAGATCACTTTAATCTAAGTGGCCTCACTTATTTTTCTCTTTGATATATATAAACGGTTTAGTAATTTTCTAGAAACACTGATTCACTCCTAACACATGAAGCTAAAGCTGTTCTCATCGTATGCTATTAATTAAAGTAATATAGCATCTTTTTATTGATATTTAAAATTTCCAGGTCAGGCATTAAGTTAACTTTTCTGCATCTGTTGATCCACAGAGGTAGAAAGTCATTTAACTACATAATTTAAATTTTAATTTTGAGGAAGAAATACTTTGGCTTTGAAGGATTAATTTTATATTCATCACTTGAAAAGATATGAGGTGGCTTTCAGTAAAAGACACCCAACAGTTAAAAACTGAAATAATCGGGTTTAAGGAGAAGAGAAAAAAATACCTCTACAAAGACTAAAACTGGCGTGGTTGTGATTCAGCATCAGTTTTGATGTGAATGTTCCTAGCAGCAGGTGTAAGAAGGGAAGAAGCTCAGTCACATACATCTCGGCATTAAAAGGAGGATGTGTGAGTCGCAGTGAGACCAGTGTTGGGCAGTAACTTTAAAACTGTGGGGCGTGACATAAGAGTGCAGTTCAGTGAGAGGCGTCCTGCACGGTTTTTCCTTGTTGTTTCCCACGCTCTTACCGCTCAGAGGTCACTGACCGAGGCACGGCGTGCTCTCCAAATGGCTACCCGTGGCCTTTCCCAAACAGATTTCGGAATGAGTCACTACTTATCTTAGATGTTTCTGGTGACTTCTGTATTAGCCAAGATGCAGTCATGAAATAGAAACCGTTGGAGACACATGATAGAAGTGAATGTAAGGAATTGTTATCAAGGTATAAAGTAAACTATTTACCTGAAAGGGGAAAAAAGCAAGCACTGAGGTATCCCAGAGGTAGAAAAGTTGCAAACTGGATTCAGCGTCTGATATAGGAAAGGAATGCCCCTGCTAGGGTTAAGAAATGTCTCTGGGGTGACACAGGAACAAAAGCCCGCAAGAAAAAAACCGAAAGCAGGCACTTCCTCCAGCCTTGCAGCCCCCGCCGGCGCCTTTTGGGCCGAGCCTACGAAGGAGCCAGCTGGCCAAGAAGCAGGGCTGCAGAGCCTCAGTCCTGTCGTGCCGGGTGAGGGGCGGGGGTGGTGGTTGGAGTCTGGGGACAATAACTTCATAACTGTAGGGTCCAGTTTTCATAGCATAGTTATAAACTTTTTCTAGCCTCCTGGCCCCCCCCTTCTCTCCACTGTCACCTCATCCGTCTTTTCCGAGCATGGCACGCGCCTTCAAACGCCCTGTGCCCGTGCAGTTTCACCTGCAGTGGCCTCTGCCTGCACACCCTGGGGGCTTTGTCGTCTTCCTCAGTGCGGAACTCCAGTGGGACCTCACTGGAGACACCTGGGTCCCTTCGCTACAGTCAGTCCCTCCGTTTCCAGAAATTTCTAGCACATTTCATTGTCTCTCAATTGCTTGTCATGAGAATTTATTTCCATGTCGGGTGTGTTCCACAGCAGTACTTCCTGCTCTGTATTCACGAATAAAGTATTTTCATGTTACCAAAGCACCAAACAAATACAGCGTGCATACAGATATACAGCGAGCTTGTTTCCAGACCTCCACAGTGAAGCAAGTGTTACCTTTTTGCTATTGGAGGATCTTGCCTTCAGTTTGTAAAAGCCCAACATCTGTGAAGCTCAGTAAAGTGACGTGCAGTTAAATGGGATCTGCCTGTGCTTCCATAAGACAAGTATTTAGGGATATAAGATTTACAGATTGAATGATTCTTATGGCTATATTTTTGCCACCAGAACATGTAGAAGAGGGGCTGAGGGGGAGCAAGGGATGGCTGTAGGGGGAGGAGAGAGAAAAGGAAAGCTGGGGATTTGGCTGGAGGAGCAAAGGGAAGAGGCTGGAATTATGAAAATTTAGAAACTGTAAGCCTCATGGTGCTGAAATTTGGGTCTCTGAAGAGGAGCTGCTACTCAGTTTGATTTCAGATTGATTTCACGGTTCTCTCATTGAAAACATAGTGAAAGGGCGGAAGATGTCTTTTTAAACTCTATTCAGAGAAGATCTGTCTGCAAAGCTTAGTTGCAGCCTGTGTCCATACCAGCAATATAAGTGAATACGTATAAAATAGGTATTTAACTTACAAATTATATTTTTAAACCCCAAAGTATACAGCTTTATGAAAGGCTTTTTATGGCACTGTTTATAATTATGGTGAATACTCATTTGTCAATTTTAAATTCAGCTCCTTGAAGTATGTATGACAACACTGAATTCTCTGTCAGCCACATTTAATTGTTCTCTGTCTTGATCTCAGCCATGTTTACGCTGCATGTATAAAGTTATAGGAAGTGGCACAGAGCTGCAGGATTGTTGAATAGTTTGCTGACCTTTTTGTGGTTTTGCTTTGTTTTTGCTGCCTACAGCTTCTGGGTTTTACTGTAAGTATCTTGAAGTGTCTGTGGTTTGCATTGCTTATGCTTATATGTAGTATTTCATTTTTTAAAAATGAAATGATAAAGAACTGAACGAAGCGGAAAGCAGAACTTTTCTATCCATGACAAGGTTGCTACTGTAAACTGGCATGTATCCTTTTAATCACTTCCTTTGACTCTTACAGTTTTATATTCATAGCATCAGAGGATACATGCTATTCTATAACTTGTGAAATGTGTTTTTTAGAGTTTATGGCCTAATACAAGATGAGGACTAAAAGAATTCACAGTGTGGCTAAAAGGATTTTGAAACTTCAGAATTTTTTTTTCCTGAGTCTGCATGTGGAATTTTTTTTAATCCTTATCGGAGGACATGCTTATTGATTTTGGAAAGAGAGAAAGGGAGAGAAACATCGATGTGAGAGAGGAACATTGATGGGTTGCCTCTTTTATGTGCCCTGCCTAGGACCAAACTAACAAACTGTGTATGTGCCCTGACTGGGAATTGAACTCTTGACCTTTCAGTTTACAGCATGATTGCTCTAACCATCTGAGCCACACTGGCCAGAACTGCATGTGGAACTTTTACTTGGTTTTTTTCTTTTTAATAGCACACCTTTCAAAAAAATGTTCTGTAATATTTAGTGTGTTTCATGTTCTTTCAACATTTCAAATCTGTTATTTTAACTAATATTTAGTTATAAAGGAACATATAATTAGTTTTTAAAAAATCAAACTGTAGATAAAGGGTAGACTATAAATGTTTTTATCCCCAGAATTAGCAATTGTTCATTTACTTACATATCCTTTCAGAAATTCCAGTGCACATAAAATGTATGTCTAATTCCCTTCACCCTAAATGATACACTATACTTTTCCTCCACTTAGCCCATTTCACTTGGCAATACAACTTGGATGCTTTTTGTATCAGAATGTATCATTCTACCAATTTTTTTTAAACAGCTGTTAGTATTCCATTTAACCAGTCTTCTTTTAGTGTACATTTACAGTGTTGCCTAAATTTTTGTGTTCATGTATCTTCACATGTTTTATATTTACATTATATTTTGAATTTTGTTTAAAAAAGTCTTGTGGAAATTTATATTTTCTTGGCTTGCAAAACAAGTTTCCAGTCCTTGATCTATACCATTGTACCACCAGCCTGTTTTCTTTGTGATGTTTTTTGCTTTGTGGAGTTTCTTAATTTCCTTACTTACTGTCTGCCATTCCTTGAACCACCACTTACTCTCAAATACAAGCAAGTCCCTAAGAGAAGGGACTTTGCCTTTCTCATTATTGTGTCTTTACTACCTGAACACTCCTGGCCCAAAACAGAAACCCCCTAAATATACATTCAGCAATTAACAACTTAAAGCAGAACAAAGAGTCAGTTTTTTGGTGGTTTATATTTTTAATGATCATCTCATCTTAAATATGTAAAAAGTTCTCCCATTTTTAGTGTAACCTCAGTGTCAGTACATGCATTCTTCACATTTCTCATTGTCTTTTGTTACTCATACAAGATTATAGTTAGCACTATAGAAATTTTACCTTTGGGTTGAAAGTCCAGATATCTGAGATTCCTTTTCTTGAATTCATTTACTTAGAAGAATTTTATTAATAGGAACCATAAGACTAATAAATGCTGTACTCCTCAAAGATTCTTTTTAAATGTCTGTTCTGCCTTTACAGGATTATGTTTGTAAGTGTAGTCTTGTTTTGAACCTAAAATTCAAACTGATTTAATCATTTTTCGTGCTGATTGAAATTTAACCTCATAGTAACCATTTATCTAATCAATTAATATTTGAGGGTCTGCCACATGCCAAATATTATATTTGACATGGATGATTTTCTTCTGACAAACATGTTTGTAAAGAATATATATGTATTATACATGTAACAATTCTAAAATACAATAAAAGGTTTATTACACTGATGCTGATATTAGTGCAGAGATGTTTTTTCTCTCTCAAATGTTTTCCAAGTTGATATTTTTATCACTTTGGCAAATTTGTCAGGGTTTGGCTTAATGCTTTGGATAATCCCATTTGTGGGCCTGTTCTGGAGGTACCCCTTTTTCATGCCCATATCCCTTTCACATGACTGTGTAGCAGTTTGTCTGTTGTTTTGGGGGAGGAAATGGTTTTAAACAGAGTATGACCTTTTTACACTGTTTAGCAAGATACACAACTCTCTTCCTTCCCAGATGATGTTATAGTATGTTAGCAGTAAGAGAAGAGAAAGTGAAATGTGTGCCTATCATTTGGATAATTAAAATATATAAAAATGACATCAAAACTGTATGCATAGTGTAACATTATTATGTTTTTCTTTGTGTTTTTCTGTGTTAAGATTTTGTCATCTGAAAAGATACATTTATTTATCAATAAATGCAGAAATAATTTCTGTTAACCTGAAATAGAAATGTATATTTCTCTGTTTAGAGGGATCATTGTGTCCCAAGTTGCTTTTCAAAGAGTTGAAAGTAATTTTCCTAAAATAACATAGCACATTTTTGTATTATATATAGATATTCCTGATCAAGTTATACGAGTTTTCAAAGCAGATCAACAAAGTTGCTATATTATCATCAGTAAAGACACTACAGCTAAAGAAGTTGTTTGTCACGCTGTTCATGAATTTGGTTTGACCGGTGCATCCGACACATATTCTCTCTGTGAAGTGTCTGTTACTCCTGAGGGTGTCATAAAACAGAGGAGACTTCCGGACCAATTTTCCAAATTAGCTGATAGAATTCAGCTAAATGGAAGGTGAATGTGCTTATTAGTAAATTATACTTATTTCTATATGTGTTTCTGAAGATTCCATGTTAAAACAGACATTTTAAATAGAAACATTAGGGCCACTGAGTTCTCTCTAAAATCGAAGTGGGATTTCTCTTTTTATTTTTTTCAGCTTTTCTTCTCTCCATAATTTTAGAAATGCACTCATAACAGCTACCCTAAAGTGGGGAAAGGGAAGGGAGGGCAGGGTGCTCAAATATTTTTAGCCTTCTTTCTAAAATAAAGTATTAGAACCACTGCTGTAGTCCAATCTCTGTTTTATACAGAGGAGGAGACTGAGTGATACATATCTTTACATATATCTGACCTCTGAGTGTGTATGTGTTTATTGTTTTTAATATGACCATATGTAGTTTGGGTAGACGAAGCCATAATTTTCACAATTCGGTTATCCTTTTGTGAATATGTGGGAATTTTTTAATTTTTAAAAACATTTTTACAGTAATAAAGAGGGAAAGTGGTCTTACAAATATAAAATCACTTATAAACACAATTTCTTTCCTTTTAGGTATTATTTAAAAAACAACATGGAAACAGAAACCTTGTGTTCGGATGAAGATGCGCAGGAACTTGTTAAGGAGAGCCAGCTCTCCATGCTGCAGCTCAGTACCATTGAGCTGGCTGCCCAGCTCTCAATGAGGGACTTTGATTTGTTTCGTAATATTGAGCCTACTGAATACATTGATGACCTTTTTAAGTTAGAGTCCAAATCAGGAAATACTCACTTGAAAGAGTTTGAGGACATTGTAAACCAAGAGACATTCTGGGTTGCCTCAGAAGTTTTAACTGAGTCAAATCAGCTTAAACGAATGAAGATTATTAAGCATTTTATTAAAATTGCACTTCACTGTCGTGAGTGTAAGAACTTCAATTCCATGTTTGCAATAATAAGGTAAGTTAGCGCAAAAATTAGTGTGCAATTTCATCATGATACTAGACATAATCCGATATTCTGCTTAGGTATTCAGTAGCGAGGAGAGGAAATTTTAATTAATAGGTTTTTACTAAAGAATTGTTAGATTTACTATATTTTTCATTCTGGTGATACTGTCTTTTTGTTTCTTCATCTTTCTATTACCTAAACTTTCTTTTCATGTGTGTGTGAATATGGGTGATTGCCTTCCCATTTTCCCTCCTTTCTGCATGTGCCCAACATTTAGTCTTTACCGTCAGACCTTTCTGTGCTGTGCCTCTTGCAGTACCTGCCTCACTGTGACTTCGCACTGAAAAGTCAGCGTGGGATCAGTGCTCTAACCCAGCAATTTTCAGCCTTTTTCGTCTAATGGCACACATAAACTTAATCACTAAAATTCTGTGGCACACCAAAATAGATATTTTTTGCCCATCTGACAAAAAATAGGTATAATTTTGATTCATTCACACTGGACAGCTGTTATTGGCTGTCACTTTTTTATTTGACAGCGTGAGCAAAAAGAAGGCAGGTATTGTGTGATCTAATAGTTCTTGCAGCATACTAGTGCGCTGCAGCTCACCAGTTGAAAATCGCTGCTCTAACCTAAAATAACAACAGCAGCAATAATAATGACAGCTGTTTGGTGAGCTCTTCCTGTTTCCAAGGCACTGCGTGAGGCGTCACTGGATGTGTTGCTGCTCGAGCAAGGGAGAGTGTTAGAATTATAAAAGCCCTTCGGTGTTTGTAAGCCCAGGGATGGTGGATGGTTGCATGAACTCCTAAGAACCTTCTTCCTTATCCCTACTCACAATGAGAAGCCAATCTTGTTAATTTGTTTTCTGACCCTCGTTAGAGGGATCCCTCTTCCAGCAAGTCTGATTTTAAAGATGGGGGGTGGGACGGGAAACAGCTGCAGTTCGGGCCACTTAATAAGGCCATACAACAGCAAAATTCCACCTTAACCAATTCCATCTGTTTACAGTCCTCCCAGAATTTAATTATGATTTGTTCCTCATATGTGAGAATCTTTATATAGACTTTTTAATCATGTCTGTCATGACAATAGGAAGCACCTTTATGAAGTTACCCAGTGCCTGCAATTGAACTAGACACTATAAGAGTATTGAATAGAGATTACAGAGTGACTTTTATTTGAATCTTGCCTCTCCCATGTAGTAGCTGTGGGTCAATGGAAAACTGAAGACCAGTTTTCTCTATAAAATACAGGAATTACACTCCCTACTTCACAGTTTTTAACAGCTGAGTCTAAAACGGGAACAAAGGAGCCATTGATAAACCCTTGGAAGGCTAGAAATTTGAACTCTTTGTACAGGAAACAAACAAAGAATTCGAGTGTACAGGCTCAGTTTTGGAGTTCACCATGAAGAAGATGGATTGACACTAAGAGCTTTGTGTAAAAAGAGTAAGAAAGAAAATGGTAGTGGGCTAAAAACCATTCCTAAGAGACCATCCTCACTGGGGGGTAAAGAGGAGAGTCCATCCAAAGGCAGGGATTGAGTACAAGAAATAGCAGGGCAGCGCAGTGATGATAGTGTCCGTCACTAAAGCAAAGGAGAGATGGGAGCCCCAAGGTAAGTGTGAGAGAAGCTTTGGTGAAGAGGCTTTGCTGTGGTCAAGAGGTTTCTATTCTTACGAAGAACATTTTATTACACACATTTTCAATAATTTATGTGAAGTTATTTGCTCTATATTTGAAAGTATATCAAAAAATATGAAAAACAAAACTTTTTAGCACAGATGATACAGGTGAATCAGTCCATTCCTATTGGAATTAAATAGTTTAAATTCTCTTTTTTTCTTAGTTTAGCTCAGTGACTTTCAACCTTTTTCATCTCTTGGCACACATTACTGCAGTTCTGCAGCGCACCAAAGAGTATATTTTTTGCTGATCTGACAAAAAAAATAGGTATAATTTTGATTCATTCATACCAGCTATTATTGTGTTGGCTGTTGTCATTTTTTTTTTCCCCAATCGAAGGGAAAAGAGGTTGGTGCTTGTGACTACATAGACAGGTATTGCACATATTAAAAATTATGGAGGCACAGCAGTTGAAAATTGCTGGTCTAGCTAAACATTTGTCAGTTTTGTATATCATTTCAAAAAACCAGTTCTTAGTTTCAGTGCTCTTTTTCAGTGTTTTCCTGGCCTCTGTTTTATTTCTGTTCAGATATTTCTTTACTTCTCCTAACTTTGGGCTAAGTTGCTTCTTTTTACAGTTCTTTGATGCATAAAGTTAGGTAATTTATTGAGGGTTTCTTGGGGGGGTTGGTAATACAAGTATTTATTACTATAAACTTCAGTTTCAGAACTGTTTTTGCAGCATCCCATAAATTTTGTTACGTTGCATATTTATTTTCCTTTGTTTAGGAATTTTTAAAAATGTCCCTTTTTTCTTCTTTGACACATTGGTAGCTCATTGGTATATTGTTGAATTTCCACATATTTCTAGATTTTCCAGTTCTCCTCCTTAGCTACTTTCTAGTTTCACACCATTGTGGTTGGGAGATACTGGTATGATTTCAGTCTTCTTAAATTTGCTAAGATTTGTTTTGTGGTTTTTCTAATGATGTCTCCTGAAGAATTGTGTTCAAGCCTGAGAAGAATGTGTTTTCTGCTGTTGTTGGATGGAATGTCATATATGCGCATTAGGTCCATTTGGTCTAAAGCAGGGGTGTTCTACCTTCTGGCGTCTCTGGGCCACGCTGGAAGAAGAACAGTGGTGTTGGGCCACATATTAATACATTGTGACATGTAATCACAAAAAAATCTTGTACTGTTTTAAGTAACTTTACAGTTTTGTGTTGGGCCACATTCATAGCCATCCTGAGCTACATGCAGCCTGCAGGCTGCAGCTTGGACACCCCTGGTAAAGTAGGGTTCAAGTCCAATGTTTCCTTACTGGTTTTCTGTCTGGATGATCTATTCGTTGCTGAAAATGGGGTATTGAAGTCCCCTACTATTGTATTGTTTTCTACTCCTTCCTTTAGATCTATTAGTATTCACTTAATATATTTAGGTACTCCGGTGTTGGGTACATGCATATATATGATTGTTATGTATTCAGGAAGAATTGACCCTTTTATCATTATAAATGACCTTTTGTCTCTTGTTACCACTTTTGACTTAAAGTCTATTTTGTCTGACAAATAAAGCTAGTCCAGCTCTCTTTTCGTTTCCACTTGTGTGGCATACATTTTTTCCACCTCTTCACTTTGAGCCTCTAAGTGTCCTTTAAACTGAGCAAGTCTCTTATAAGCAGCATGTAGTTGAGTCCTGTTCTTTCACCCATCCAACCACTCTCTGCCTTTTGATTGGAAAATTCAGTCCATTTACATTTATTATAATTATTGATATATAAGGGCTTACTACTTCCGTCTTTCTTATTTTCTGGCTATTTTGTAATTCACTTGTTCCTTTCTTACTCTCTTGCTGGGTTTTGTTGTGAATTGTTGATTTTTTTGTTGTTATATTTTGGAGACACAAATGACAAGGCAGGATTCTTTGGTAAAGACAATAATGCTGGTAAAGACAAAAATAGAAGGCAACAGGAAAAGAAGACAGCCAAACATGGGAGAGATTGACTCCATAAAAGAAGCCGTAGGCATGAGTCTGCAGGAGCTGAGCACGGCTCTTGCGGACAGGACATTGTGGACACCATTCATTCGTAAGGTCTTCCTGGAAAGTCCTTCATTTCTCTAGTATTGTTTTACCAGATAATTCTTGGTTGGCAATTATTTTTTTCTTCAAGCACTTTGACTATATCACCCCACTCTCTCCTGGCGTAAATGATTTCTGCTAAGAAAATCTGCTGATAGCCTAGTAGGCTACAATCCTTTTTTCTGTTTCTGCCTTTACAATTCTGTCTTTGATTTTTGACAGTTCTATTATAATGTGTTTTGGAGCGATCTACCAGCTTTCCGGACTAGGCTGTCCAGATCTCTACCCTGGTTTGGAATGTGATCTGCCGTATTTCTTTAAATAGACTTTCTGCCCCTCTTTCCCTTTCACCTCCTTCTGGAACTCCAGTGGTTCAGATGGTGTGTGTGTGTGTGTGGTTTTTTTTCCCTTCAGTTCCAGGTATTCATTTGGCTCCCTTTTGTGTGTTGGAAGTGTCCCACATGGCTAAGGAAACCAAGCCTTGCTCATCAGATTCCTCTCCCCCGTGGCAGGAGTCCCAGCCGCCTCGTATAGCCCTAAGCCATGCCAGGCGGGGTGATGCCAGCCAAGTCAAATTGTTTGTTTGTTTTTTTACCTACCTCAGAGCATCCAAACTTTTTGTTTTGTCTTACTTTATTCCAGCAGAATGTTGGAACTTCTCTGGAAGCCTGGCCTTCCACAAGGCTCTGTTGTCTGTAGGTGACTTCCCAAGGCAGTGTTCTGCACGTGTTTCTGGGCCACAGCTGAGAGGGGCCAGAATTAATCCCAGTCTCCTTTAGGTTCCACAGCCAGTATGGAAGCTTAGCAGCCTATTACCTGACACACCTGGGAGCGAGGCTCCTCCCAAGTCCCTTGGAGTGTGGTGCTGGGTCCCACAACTCCATGGGGGGCACTCCTGTTCACGGACAGTTGCCAGAGTTTTGTTGTTGAGGCAGGGGGATAAAACGAGCATGTCAGTGCTGCCATGATACTGACATCCCTCTGTCCAGTCATGTCTTGGTTGAAGTTTGTGGGAATTATATTTCCTAAGTGTATTCAAAGCACCTTTCTGTTGCCTTTGAACTTCATTGACAGTTTGTCTGGCTTCAGAGTTCTTTTTTCATATGTTATTTCTTGGACACTTAATATACATTGGCTCCACAATTAGCGTTTTACGTAGCTGTTTAAGTTTCTGCGATTACTTCCTAGGTCTGTTCCTTATCTCTGAGGTCATTTACTTTACATGAATGTTTCTGCACCTTTTTTAGTTCTGTATTAGGTTCTCTGGAACTGTGGTGTCTATTCAACCTGTAGATTCAATTCTCCTTTTGTTTCTGGAAAGTTTTCCAAAATTGTACCTTTGAATATTTTTTTCAGTTCCATCACTTTTGTCTCCTTTCTCAAGGATACCACTTACATAGATTTTAGATCTCATTTGTCTTCCGTATCTATTACTTTCTCTCTTTCTTTTCACCTGTCCATGTCTAGTGATTACTTTTATTAATCCTTTCCTCCATGTCACTTGCACAGGTTTTTAGCATTGTCATTTTTTGTTAATGCTGGTTCCAGTGCGGGCTTCATTTCTCTGTTGGTTTTATTTTTTCTTCCATTTTTTCCCCTGTAATTCACTATTTTTAAATCACTGTCTCTCATCATATTTTTCCTGAGTTTTATATCACTGTATTTTTATATCACTGAGTTTTTATATCACTGTATTAAGCTCTTTATTTACTTCATTAATTCATTTGAAATCATGGCTAGGTTGTTGATTAATCCCAGTTTTTATTTAATTGCTTGGAACATTTTTCTGCTTTATGTTTAACTATTTGTTATAGGACCTGTGTTCATTCCTCCTTTTTAAATGACATGCATTTTCCTGTACCAGCTGTTTGCAGAAGGTTCATGTGGGAGTGGGGTCAGGGGAGCGTCGCGGGCCAGTAGGGACTGAGCCTGCATGTGAGTTGTTTTACTCTCTACTTTTCAGCGAAGGGAGACTGGCACGTTTGAGACACTTATTCTTTCTGTCGTGTCTCAGTGTTAAGCTTCTTGTCACCAACATGTTCTGTTGTTGTGCCCTGTTACAGTCTTTCCCTGACACTCCCTAGTTGTGAAGGACAGAGTCTAGCCCCTGCCTAATTCTGTCCGCCTGCGGGCTCTGTTGTGTTGTATCACACGGGATTGTGTGTTTGCCTTCAGTGGCATTACATGCTGTAGAACGTTGTGCTTTCCCAGCTTCCATTGAAATCTTCAGCTGTAGGTAATGTTTGGCAGTATTTCACATACTCCTATTTGACCTTGACTATTTTGTGACATTCATCCTAATGGGCTTAGGAGGTACAGAATCTGTTAGTGTCAGTGGAAATGAAATTTGTGTTTGTTACTCCTTGTAGTTGTTTGGGATAATTTCTGAGAAGCAAAAGGAGCAAAGATATCAACTTCACACCTTAAAATCAGAACACAAGAGCATATTTTAAATACAATGGTGTGGTTGAAAATCAGGTGGCTTAGCGTAAAAGTAGGATTACCAGTAAGAAAGTTGAGGCATTTTTTATGTACTATTCATATGGCAGCCTACCTGTGAAATGTTAAAATAGAAGTCAAGGGATAGGCAAGAGTTGCGGCCTAATTGGCATGAATTATTTTTCAAGATAGGGCTATCTGAGTGTGTTTAAAATCCTGCAGAAGGGAGACACTGAATGTATGGAGGCCTAGGGGACAAGACTAGGACCTAGAGATATGGAAGCGTTGCCAGCAGGGATGGTGTGGGACTAAACCTCAGCGAAGGAACATTGCCTCAGCCCCAGAAATTGCCTCATTTATGTATGTATCAGTTGTGCTCTGCATGACTTAAACCACTCACAAATAGATAATATCTCTATAAAGTTATTTCTAAGTAAAACAAAAACATTGTGATACTTGGAGTTTTTAAAAAGTGATGTGTCTGTTTTATAGAATTATTATTTGTCACTTACATGCAAACTATAAAATAAAGGTTATAGGTATACAACTACAGGCAAGCAATGTAATTCCTCTGAAAGAGGATTTCCTTGTTTGAAGGTCAAGGAGTCCTACTTATTTATTTTTTCATGGTTTATTTTGTTTGTTTCAACACATTGAAATGTGCCCCTGTGTATTTTAGCTTTATTAGAGAAACTCGGTGTTTGCACTCTGCTGACCTGAGTCCTCTCTTTTATGCAAGTCCCTCTTTAATATTGTTCTTTTCATCTTTGGCAGTGGCTTGAACCTGGCGTCTGTAGCACGACTCAGAGGTACTTGGGAAAAGTTACCGAGCAAGTATGAGAAACACCTGCAAGATCTCCAAGACCTTTTTGATCCATCTAGAAACATGGCAAAGTATAGAAATATTCTTAGTAGTCAAAGCATGCAGCCTCCAATTATTCCACTCTTCCCTGTTGTCAAGAAAGATATGACATTTCTACATGAAGGTATTTAAAAGTTATTTGAAAATTAGCATGTTTAGCTTCCACTAATTCTAGAGAATTGTCATTTATTATATTGATATATCTTTTTAGCCTAACGGTTATATATCATTAAAGTTTTACCCAGTTAAATGCAACAAATTTTAAGAATCCAGAACCTACATTATTGACAAGAACAAATTTAGATGTTTACCCTCTTTATTTAAACATAAACTTCACTCACACCAAGATCAGACGGTGTGATCATATTTGTTGTTTTGTTTAGTAATGTTTTTCCAGCTGTTTTAAAAATTACTTGACACATACAAAAAAGTGCCCAAAAGAAGAGAAAAACCTAATACATTTATAAAAACACCGATGTAACCAACATCCAGGTCAAAAATAAAACATCGCCAGCTCCCCAACAGCCCCGTGCATGCCCCTTCCCCATTACCATCCACATCATCTTTTCCAAAGGTAACTGCTGTTCTGACTCTAATACTGCGGTTTAGTTTAACTTGTCCTTGAACTCTATACAGATAGAACCATAGGGTATGTTTTGTCATACTACATTTTGGTTTGGTTTGTTTTCTATTTTATTTAGCTCAACATTATAGATTTGGGAGATTTTTCCATGTTTCCGAGTGTGGTCTTACTTCATTTTCAAAACTAGTATTCCCTTACATGAATGCAATGCAATGGTTTTATCCATTTTGTTGGTGAGTGTTTAATGGTTTCCACAGTTCATCGGTTACGTATAATGGTGCTATTATTGCATATATCCTTGCACATATCCCTCAGTGCACATGCATTTTTGATATAATTTAGGATGGAATTTTTGAGTCCTGGTATTTGTATAATCAACTTTAGAAAACGTTGGGCGTTACCTAGTAAAGTGGAGCATTGGCAGTGTTGTTAGAGTTCTTGTTCCTCATCCTTACCAACACGTGATAAATTTTTTTTTAATTTTTACCTATTCCAACAGTTGTGTGGTTTAATTTGCATTTCCCATGTTACTAATGAGGAAGAACACCTATATATTTATTTGTCCTCTTGTCAGTGATCAGTTCAGGTTTCTTGCCAATTTTTAATTAGGTTGTTGCCTGTTTAATGAACTTTTAAGAATTTTTTATAATTTCAGCATATAAACAACTTGCCTTTGGACTCTGTTAAGGTTTACTTTAACAAACGTTAAGTTTCTAGTTTTCAAAGATCTTTCACCATATGCTTTATCTATAATCTCCTGCATTTTTTTGTACGGTATTTGTCTTACTCCATAAACTAGCTAACTCTACACTGTTTTATTATTTTTCTAGTGTTGCACTAGGCATTATAGTATTTATACTCGTTGATACTAGTTTAATATTCATTAGTACTTTTCTGCATGTCAGGCAATGCAAAGAACTTAGATCATTTTAAATTTTATTTATCCATCTCTGACTTGTACGTATTTATTGCCATGCCTTTGAATTCCATGCGATACCACCATTGTTTAATAAAATCAGTTTTTATTTAGCTTTACCCACTTGATGCTGATGTTACTGTTTTTTTTATTCTTTTATGCATTGCAAAGTTTCCATACTGATAGGGTTTTTTTTCCTATAGAAAATTGTTCATTATTCCCTTAAGTGCAAGTCGGATGGTGATGAAATAGTTTTTGATGAAATACCTTAGTTTTTGTTTCTCCTGAAAATATCTTTACTTCATATTCATTCTCAAGGCATAAGTTCGGTTGGCAGTTCTCTTTCAGCATTTTGAGATAACATTATATCATCACCAGGCTTCATTGTTAATGTTAAGAAATCAACTGTCTCATTTGCTGTTCTTTTGACTGTAGTCTATTCCTTTTTTTTCTCTTTGTTTTTCTTTTTCTTTTTATCTTTCTTTTATTCCCCTCCACCCTGCAACACCACTCCCCGCCCCCAGCATTCCCCCCTCTCCACCAAGCATTACCCCTCCCCCTTCCAACCTTAGTTCATGGCCATGGGTTGTACATATAAGTTCTTTGGCTTCTCCACTTCCTATACTATTCTTAACATCCCCCTGCCTATTTTGTACCTATTGTTTATGCTGCTTATTCCCTGTACCTTCCCCACTATTCTCCCTCCCCTTCCCCCTCCCCTCTGATCTCCAGTTCTGGGATTCTGTTCCTGTTCTAGTTGCTTGCTTTGTTTGTTTTTCTTTTGTGTTTTTAGGTTCAGTTACCGTTAGTTGTGAGTTTGTAGTCATTTTACTATTCATAGTTTTTGATCTTTTTCTTAGGTAAGTCCCTTTAACATTTCATACAGTAAAGGCTTGGTGATCATGAACTCCTTTAACTTGACCTTATCTGGGAAGCATTTTATCTGCCCTTCTATTCTAAATGAAAGCTTTGCTGGATAGAGTAATCGTGGATGTAGGTACTTGTCTTTCATGACTTTGAGTACTTCTTGCCAGCCCCTTCTTGCCTATAAGGTTTCTTTTGAGAAATCAGCTGATAGTCTTATGGGAACTCCTTTACAGGCAACTCTCTCCTTTTCTCTTGCTGCTTTTAAGACTCTCCTTATCTTTAATATTGGATAGTGTAATTATGGTGTGCCTTGGTGTGTGCTTCCTTTGGATCCAACTTGTTTGGGACTCTCTGAGCTTCCTGGATCTCCTGGAAGTCTGTTTCCTTGGCCAGATTGGGAAAGTTCTTCATTATTTTTTCAAATAAGTATTCAGTTTCTTGCTCTTTCTCTTCTCCTCCTCACACCACTAAGATTCAGATGTCGGAACATTTAAAGTTGTCCCAGAGGTTCCTGAGCCTCTCCTCATTTTTCTGAATTCTTGTTTCTTCATTCAGTTCTGGTTGAATGTTTATCTCTTCTTCTGCTCCCAATCATTGATTTGTGTCCCAGTTTCCTTCCTTTACTGTTGTTTCCCTGTATATTTTTCTGCGTAGCCTTTGCTTTTTCCTCCAATTTGCGACCACACTCAACCAATTCAACAAGCATCCAGATTACCAGTGTTTTGAACTGTGCATCTGATAGACTGGCTATCTGTTCATTGTTTAGTTCTGTTTTTGAAGCTTTGACCTGTTCTTTCATTTGGGCCATATTTCTTTGTCTCAGCACACTTGTCACATTAGGAGGGACAGAGCCTTAGGTATTCACCAGGGCGGGGCAACCCAGGTTGCTGCGTTGTGGCTCTGTGTGGGGGAGGGGTCCCAGAGGGAACAGTGCCACTTGCTGGGCTCTAGGTTGGCTTTCAGTCACTCCCCCAGCTCCCAACAAGCAAATTGGGCCCTTTTGGTTCTGATTCCCAGGTGAGTGGGTTTGTGTATGTTCTAGGACCCTGTGGATCTCTCCAACGGATTCTCCTGTGAGGCTGGGAGTTTCTCCTGCTGCCACAGCCCCCACAGGTTTTTAGAGCCAGAGGGTTTGAGGCTTTCTTTTCCTGCTCTGGAACCCTGGGTTGTGCGGTCTGTCTCACTCCCCATCTGTTCCTTGGCTTTATCCACACACAAACGTGGGGCCGCCCAGACCACCAGCTGCCGCCTCACCTGCCAGGTCCACCAGCTGCTACCTTGCCACACATCCTCTCCGCCCCGGCTGCCTGTCTCTGCCCTTCCTACCAGTCTGGATGAATGTGTCTTCGTTGGCTCCTTGGTTGTCGAACTTCCATACAGTTTGATTTTCTGTCAGTTCTGGTTATTTTTAGTCTTTAAATTTGTTATTGTCCTTATTTTGGTTGTGCTAGGAGGCAGTGTATCTACCTACACCTCCATCTTGGACAGAAGTCTGTAGTCTGTTCTTTTTCCCGTAGCTTCTTTATAATTTTCTTCTCTTTGTGTTTTTCTCTAGTTTTGCTATAATGCGATCAGGTGTGGCATTTTAATTTTGACTTGTTTATAAAACATCTTGCGATCTGTTTTGGAAAAATCCTGTTATTCTGTCTATAAGTTTTTTATCTGCCCTTCCTGGAGCTTTTCTGTAGTGATTTTGATTTCACTTCTGTTAGACCTGATTAATGCCTCTATTGTCTCAAACACTGTTTTGTGTATTTCTAACTTTTCTGTCTCACCATGCTTTATTCTGGATATTTTCTTCCAACCTATTGTCCAATTTATAATTCTCTCTTCAACTATGACTAATTTACTGTTACGTTTATTAGTGTGTTTCCAATTCCAGTTTTTCTGTTTCTTCAGTGTTACAGTTTACATTTGTTTATCTTTTTATCAGCTTGTTCTCTGCCTAAATTCTCTGTATTGTTTATACATCTTTGCACATATTTAACATAGTTTTTATTTATTTATTTTTAGAGAGAGGGGAAGGGAGGGAGAGAGGGAAACATCGATGTGTGGCTGCCTCTCACCCGCCCCCTCCTGGGGACCTGGCCTGCAACCCAAGTCATGTGCCCGGAGTGGGAATCAAACCGGCGATGCTTTGGTTTGCAGGCCAGCACTCAATCCATTGTGCCACACCAGCCAGGGCTAACATTATTTGAAAGTTTGTCTCTAATAACTGCATAATCTAGGTCCTTTGTGGGTTCCTTTCTGCTGTCTTTTTTGTCCTTTGCATTTTAATCATGTTATCTCTTCTCCTGGCCCTGGTTATTTTTGACCAAATGAATGTTGTGTATTAAAAAATTATAGAGATAATCTGAGGTTTCAGATGATGTTCCATTCCTCCAGGGAGAATTAAAGATTCCTTCTGCCATTCAGCTAGGGGCGCTAGCATCCAAAATTACTTTATTACATTTTCACATTTTGAGATAGCTTAACTTGAACTTTCATCCCAGGCTACATTCAGTTCATTCTTAGTCCCAGGATATAGCATGTCAGGATCCCAACCCAAAGCATCGGAGGTTTAGTGGACTTGAGCTCTGTCGTCTAACCTCAAAAGTCAGGGCAACACTACTCAGTGTTTCAGCTCAGTGTCCGCCTTTTCTGAAGTCAGCCGGTGTCCCTTGAGTCTGGTGCTGGGAAATGCTAAACCCGCCCCAGATCTTTATTCTTCTTTCAGCTCTTCACTGCCTTGATACCTTTTTGATGACTTAAAATATTTTTTTTAATTTTTGTCCAAATTTTCTGATATTTCTCAGTAATCTTGTTCAGATACCTGCTTTTACTACCACCTCCTTCTTCATTATCACTCCTTTTTCATAAGAAGATATTATGACGCTCTGACATGGTTCCACAAAACATGTGTATGTGACTTGAAAGTATTTTTGGTGATTATTTTGTTTCTTACTCATGTTGCAACCTGAATGATTCATATGTCCAATGTATAGTTGTTGTTTACCATGAGAAGGGGGCCACCACGTGTCCCAGACCTACACAGTTCTCAAACTTGTCTTCAAGGACTTGAAGTTACGCAGAGGCTCCGTAAGGGCTGCCGTGAGAAATAAATGGGGTTATGCTGACTAAAAGACAGGTGTGAAGGGGAAACAAAACATTGCTCTAGACAGTTGGATTGCCTTTTCAACATATTTTTTGCCTTATGGTTTGAACTGCGTAAGCAACAAATGGACTTAATCTGGTCCCCTACTCATGCTCTTCAAAGACAAGTAGGCCATTTTTGAAAGTTACGTGAATTTTTCTCAGAGAACCACTTAGCAGAACAGAAACAAAAATTATGAAACTTATAAACAAGCAAATTTGTGTTAAATGATTAAAGTCATGATTGTAAATTCAGATTCTGGGAAAGAGGAAGTGAATGGCAGATTCGAAAATGTCTATCCGTATGAGCCAGCTACCTCTTAGTTTTAACTAATTATTGCCATTTGGGAAAATGGACCAACTATTGTTTAATCTCCCACTGAACATCTCTCTCTTTCTTTCTTCAAGTGAAGTCAGAAATTATTGTTTTCATGGGATATCTTCCTCTTCTTGAATGTTGACAACTCACTTAACAATTTTTCAGTATTCCAAAGCAAAGAAAACGTACTGGGTTAATTAAGCCCAAGGCTTACTCTTTGTGACCTTTGATGAAACCTGAGTTTTCACGGCCCAAAGTGACAGGTGCGCGCCCGTGCCTGAGAGTGGGGAGCCGCACACCTTAGAAGTGCGCCTACAGCATAGTGAAGGGCGGTTGAGAAGTCATGCTGTGTATCGCTTCCCAGCATTCATAATCTTTACCCCCTTAGAGTAGAATTCCTCCCAACAGCTCATTCCTGGGAACAGCGTTGAACCATCTGTGGTTTATCAGGTCTTACAAATAAGAGAGGCAGTGTGAGAAAGTTAATATTTATACCCCCCAAGAATAATAAACTGACTTCTGCTACCTTTATATGGATACTTTAATTTAGAAAATTATAAACTTTTCCTTTTATTCCTTAGGAAATGACTCCAAGGTAGATGGTTTAGTAAATTTTGAGAAGCTAAGAATGATTGCCAAGGAAATCCGTCAAGTTGTTCGAATGACTTCTGCTAACATGGACCCAGCTATGATGTTCCGACAGAGGTATGGCATGAAGTGCGTAAGAGTATTGCAGAGTGGCATTTGGAGTGATCAGTTACAGTAATGATACATGTCATTTTTTGACCATTTCCCATTTGTTATGTGCTATACAAAGTGCTTTACACAATCTCAAATTAGTAATTCATCACAATACCCCTTAACGGTAGGTGATACTGACCTTCCTTTTACCTGTGAAGAAACTGAAGTTCAGAGCAGTTGGGTAAGGTGCCCAGGATTACATAGTTTACTGAGATTTGAACCCTAGTTCTGCATTACTTTTTTGAGTAAGTGGGTAGTTCTGTATGGTTAGTGTTACTTAAAATATTAGCTAACTTCAGTGTAAGTTGCTTATCTTTACTGAAGTTACCACAAAGGACAAATACTTTCAGCTGGTTTCTAACTTAATTTGTAAAGTATTAATGTGCATATGTCTTTTATTTTTACTGAATATTTTTTAGTTCTGTTTCCATCTAAGTCAAACTTTATTCTTCTAAAATGTATTTTTTTCCTCGAGTCATTATACTGCTGTTTATTTGTGTGCAAGTTCTTTAAACATAATTTAGAAAGTGCAAATTTGAACATGTTCCTTCTTTAATAAAAATGGAAAATACTATTTGTATTCCATATTAACCTGACCTTCTAAGAATGCTTTTTAAAATTCATTTTTAATGTAATAACAAAGGCTTCCTCAAATTCTATGAAATTTAAACATAAAATACATTGTCAAGCTGTTCCCAGTAATTTTTATAATTTTCAGAGTAAACATTAGAGCTTTAATGTTTGACCTGATTTTCTTCTGGGCCTATGTGTATAGTTTCAGTTCACACAGAGCTTTAAAAATGAGGTATTTACAAAGGCAGACACAATTCGTCTGGCTTAAAAAATACAGTTTACTAAGGAAACAAAAATACTTGGTTCTTCAAAAATCGGAGATGGAGTTACTGTAACTAAACAATTGGTGTGTGTCTGGATTGGTTTTTTTGGTTTTGTTTTGTTTTATTTAAATGACTATTCAGGGGCCTTTGTTTTTTGTAAGCAGTTGTTCTCATGGTTGCCCTAGTTTGGAAATCTCGTATGGAGGAGAGGGGGTCAGGTCTCCTCCCTGCCCACCTCATGTCTGCCCCTGAGCGTCACTCTCTGTGATGAGAGGTGTCACTGACCAACAGTGTGGAAGTGCAAATCACTAAGGACCAGGGACTGAAGCAACCCTAGAGGAGAGTTTGTTTGTTTCTTTGTTTTTTAAGTTTTTTGTTGTTGTTGTCCCATGTCCCCGTACAGTGGCCTCGCCACTGCATGTCTTCTTACACGGACCTTCATTTACCCACATGTGTTAGCACTCTGGCTCCTAAAGACATAGGGGATTTGTGAGTATGCCAGACCAATTAATAGTATTATACTAAGTACCTGCTATGCTTCAGAAACGAGCAAAGAATGAAAAAAGACTGAAGAAGAAAATAAATTTGGCTGTTTTTGTGGGAATGGCCCTGGCTAAGTAGAACACAGTAAAGAAGAAAATAAAACATTTATAATTAGATTGGACTGAACTTGAATTAGTTTCATTTGTCATCCAGTACTGAAATGTACTAATTTTCTTAAGCAAATAAGTGCCCGTTTTGGTGGTGCATGTTATGTAGTATGGACAAAGTGTAACCCCTTTTATTTTAACAGTGGTCATTTTACTGGCTGAAAAACAGAATCTTGGACTGCCCACACTGGGCTCACTGGGTACAAGCCCGGGGCGCACTGAGGCCAGTGGCAATTGAAGGCAGTGCAAAAATCTGAATAAACAATTAAAAATAAAAAAGATTTTTTATTTAATCCAACTGTATAATAAGGATATACAGTATTATAAAATTTGTGATGTATTTATACTTTTTAAGTTGAATTTTCTGGTTAAAATTTCTTATAAAACACTGTTCAAAGAAATTTTTGCACTTAAAAGTGAAATTATGTCTTTTTTTGTGTAATTTCATCCTAACACTTAAATAAGTGCCTCAAAAATCCTTCCCAAAAAATCTTTGAAGATTCTATTCCTTAATTTTAAGGTTTCCTTCCCTAAAAATCTTGAGTTCACAATTTTTAATAAATAAATGTTTTCCCTTAAGCTTCTTATTAATATAAACCTTGAATTAGATATTAAAAATATAATTGATCAAAAGAATATTTTTTAAACATTTTAGAGGTTTTTGGCCTTCAATACCTATAATTCATTTTATTCCTCTGCATTCCATTAAAGTCATTTTACTGTTAAGCTACCATTTTTCCCTAGTAAAATTTTTCTGTTCTATTCTGTCTTCAGAGTTTTTCTGGCTCTCAACTGTTGTCTTTTTTCTGTGCTTTCCTATTCAAACACATGCTTCAATGTTTGTGGCTCTTGCTTACAGGAAGAAGAGGTGGCGGAGTCTGGGGTAAGTGTAGATATGAATGCAACTGGAATGAAGGTTGTGCAACTCTTAACATATACTGCATCCTTTTCATTAATGCACGCACATAATATAGCATGCGTTCTATTAACCCTGTCAGCCTACATTCCTGACAAATGCCTTTTGCTAACAAGGTGAAAGTAGTGATAGAACTAGTTGTTTTTTTTTTTTTTCTTTACTTTTTTATTATTAATGTTCCAAAAGTCCCTTTTAGGTTTTAATTTAGCAAGGTCAGTTCAATGATGATGATGATAGGAAATATTTGTTGTGTGCTTGCAATGTGCCATACACTGTTTTAAGCACTTTATATGAATTATTTATTTCCCCAAACTATCCAATGAAATACATACTCTTATTCAATACCATGGTACAGATAGGGAAGACAGAGTTGTCCAAATTCTTGCAATTCACTAATGGTGGAGCCAAACATAGGTAGTGTGATTCCAGAGTCCACACCATTTTCTTTTATAAAATTAAATTCATAAGTATAAAAATAGATAGATTTATATATAAAGTTTACATTTTTACATCAGTTTTCAAAAAAGAAGCAGCCCTTATCTGAGCTATTTAATAAATAATTGAAATAGAAGATGATTTTAATTCCTTAAGTCTTCTAATACCACAGGACTTACAGCATTGATTGAATTTTATATTTCTCGTTTTTAATTTAAAAAATCCCTTATCTCTCTTAAAACTGTAATAAAATCAGAAACTGCCACCTTTTGTTCTGGTAGGTTCAAATCTCTGCTTATACATAGCTAGATATCTATTTTGAATCAGAATTTGTAGGATCTTATAAATCATCTATGTAGTCCTTTCATTTTTTGATGAAGAAAGATGGTTTTTGTAGATGAAGGGATTGCATAAAAAGAATTTTGTTACTTTAAGACTATAGTGAATCATGAAGTTAGATGCTTTTATTCTGTGTAAGAAGGATTTTTTTTGTGAGCCACTTTGAGTCCTGTCTTATTTGTGGTCTTGTTTTCAGTTGACGTGTGGTAAACTTGAATTTCCTTCTGCCTTTCCCTCCCTTCTTTATGTGTTTCTTATGTATTTTCTTCTGTATTATACATTTATGTTTTGGTCTCTTCTGGTTCTTCTCACTGAAAATAGAAGTTGAATCCTGGCATTACTGTTATGAGAGTACTTGGTGATTACATGTTAGTGGGAATTTGAGGTGTTTGAATGACTTAGGTATCACATTCACTGATTATTCAGCTTTAAGGTTGGATTGTATGATACTAGCAGACACTAGGTATTTTCATTTTTGTATTAGAGTGTTTTCTATTTTGGAAGGAGAAGACATTTTGTTGTCAATTATCACAGTGTTTTCATTTATTAGAAATTTTGTATGTATTTTTGATTTGTGGTCTCTGTCTCCCTGAATATCAACTAAGATAAAATTACTAAACATTTGTATTGAAATTTGATCCTAAATTTGGGGGCTTGATTTTACTGCATTTCTTTCAATCTAAGACATGAGTTGTTGGATATACAATTATTTTAGGTACCACTGAACTTAATAAAAGAGCTCTTATATAAACTGAAGTATGTATTTTTATCACATAACACCCTTTTGCATTCATAAAGAAGAAAATATAAGCACATTAAATTGGTGAGGTCTTTTCTGAATCTTCTTTGTATTAAGAATATGCATCTTCTAAATCACTTTTAGAGTTGTCAGTGTTCAAGTTCTTTCCCTGGACAGTATTACCATATGTACCATTAGGTGTGTTGGTAACGCTGCGTTTTGTAAAACAACCCATAGAAAATTTCAGAGCTGCTGGTGCTGTGCTCTTAGGCTGGCTGTGCATATCTGTGCAGCTGGCCCCCTTTTAATGCCTGCTGCTTTGGGAATGTTGTTGAACTTGTCTGATTCACTACCTCCTTAAAATCATTTGGTTCCTGAATTAAAATAGTAGTTCATGCCCTGGCTGGTGCGGCTCAGTGGACTGAGCGCCAGACTATGGACTGAAAGGTCGCCAGTTCGATTCCCACTCAGGGCGCATGCCTAGGTTGCAGGCCTGGTCCCCAGGTGGGGCATGCGAGCGGCAACTGATCGATGTTTTTCTCCATCTTTCTCCCTCCTTTCCCCTCCCTCTAAAAATAAGTAAATATTTATTATAAAAAAATTATATCACTAATATCATTGGATTTCTTTCCAAACTATTTGGCAAGTGTTGAAGTTTTCTGCAAGTATAACCAGTGACAACCATGTCACAGTTTCTGCCTGACCAAATAGCAATCGAAAGTTGCCATCAAATGTAAGACACACCCTATTTCAAAGGTCTTAAAATTGTGAAAGAAAAAACTACCATAACATTTGTGCAACTTTGTTTTATTTAGTTTACAATGAAAACATAGGATTTTAGTATCTGTTTTAAACTGGGTATAAGATCATTCAAAAACAAATTATTTTATGTTTGTAGTCTATGTATTTAGAATATTTTTGTGTAAATATTAGGCTTATTTAGAAAACCCTTAATTACATTTATTATTTTGGAATGGCAACTGCCTTTAAAATAAAATTCATTGTAGAACCTTGTGTTGACTTGCCTGTTAGAAAGGACAGATAGCGTTGTGTTTCTCTTTTTCCTCTGGTTCTAGATGTAGTCACTGTACAAGGGCATTTGCCAAAACGAGTAGAATGGGTGACACTAAAGCTAGTTTCAATTGTGGTTATCTCTGCCCAGCTTCCAGCTCCATCCAGGGACATTGCAGAAGGGAGGTCCCAGCCCTAGATCCCCAGCCCTAGATCCCCAGCCCTACACCCACACACTGCCCAGCTGTTCCATATGGGAGGGGAAGCACCAGGTAGCTTTTTATTGTACTTCTGATCTCTGACTATATTGAATTGAGCATATTTTTCTTGGTGGTGGTCTCTGAATTTTGGCCAAATCTGTTGACTGGTACATTGGCCGACACGCTGAGAGTGGGCCTTCTGTGGACCGGTGTGGTGGTGGCGATAGCACATCCAAAGCACAGAGACAGCACAGCTGCTCTGGAAGCCTGTGAGCTGAAGAACCCTGGTGGCCGAGGATGGGCTCGTCCTGACTCAGGCCCTCGCTGTATATCCCGAGCATGGGAGCGTTGTTCCTTGTCACCATTGTGCCATGCGCTGTGTAGGCATAAACAAGTCCGATGAAATTCATTTCTCGAGGGATTATTCTTTTGAATTCTGCACTTTGCCAAATTTTAGAACTTAGAACATTGTCATATGTGCCATATTACTTTGCATTAATGCTCTTCATCTTTTAACTCATTTACATCAGCATGCAATAGCATTAACAGAACAAAATTCTCTTAATCTGCAGTCTGCCATGCTTAATTCTCATCTTTGCAGCCCCTTATTGTGGTCTCCATCATCTTACAGGTCGCTGAGTCAAGGTAGCACAAACTCAAACATGCTGGATGTTCAGGGAGGTGCTCACAAGAAAAGAGCACGCCGGAGTTCTCTGCTTAATGCTAAGAAGCTCTATGAGGATGCCCAGATGGCGAGGAAAGTGAAGCAGTACCTCTCTGGTCTGGATGTGGAGACAGACGAGGAGAAGTTTCAGATGATGTCATTGCAGTTGGAGCCTGCATATGGTACCTGTGAGTACAAGCTTTCTCTTATGTGGCACTAGATAGCGCAATAAAATAGAAATCTATTTCTCTAGAGTCATGCTGAGTCCCAAGAAAACTAATTTTCAATTACAAAAGGTTACCGACATAACCAAAGCATCGTGTTATCCTGTTAATCAGAGCAGCCCATCCGTTCCCAGTGATTACCTTATGCAAGAAATAGAGGGATAAGTAGTTCATCTTTAAAAAGCATTATAAAGTCATCTTGTAAAAACTGGAACAGTATGCCAAAGGCCTCTGAATTTTTATCTTCACCCCTAAATTAAGAGTAAAAGTAAGTGAAATGTTAACTTTTTAAAAAATTTTGTGGATAATATTTACCAACTAGAAAATACAAGAAATTGAGTTAAAACACTGTTAGATAATAGATATCAGAAAGTAAGGTAAAACAAGAAAAATAAGACACATTCTGATGGTGTTAATATATAAAAAATATGATTGGCCTCAGTACCGGGGGCAGGGGGATTGTTTTGTTTTGTTTTTTAAGTACAAAACAATGTACGTGTGTCTGGGCCAAGGCAATCATGAGTCGTAAGAGCAGAAATCAGAGATGATACAATATACCATGTTTGTTGTAACAACAAAATAAGGATGATCTTAAATTATAAGTGAATGGTGTGTGAGTATGTGTGCGCACCCCAATAGGAAGCGTGGAACTTGTTAAATGTTGACAAAATATTGGAGGGGGAAGGTTCAGATTTTTTATTTCTGTTTCTGATTTATTGGGGGAAATGGTAGCCATCATAGGTGGACCTTGAGATTGATAAATGATATGATATTTGCATAGTAGTAGAAATAGCATGTCAGCAGTAGAGAAGAGAAAGTAGAAATACAACCAAATATTAATTTAAAATTTTCAGGTATTGTCGCATTGCGCAGCGGCTCGACAGGGCACCCCACCGCAGGGGAGCACCGCATAGAGCGCGGCACCCCCTGAACCTGAGGGAAACTGGCGGGGGCCCGCTGAGGTGGGAACAGGGCTCTGAAACCCGCAGAGCCTATCCCGGGGTTGTCGCAGATGAGGGGGATAAACACAAAATGTCGCAAACACTTCTGTGTTTGCCGGGAGAGCAGACGGGGCCACTTCCCTCTCACTGGAGAAGGCCGTCGCGCATCCCTCTAATGGGGAAGGCCCTATTGCCCTCTGTTCCAAGGCTTTTATTGAAAATCTTATCATTGGGGCTAAGTAACAGGAATGCATACGTTATCTCATTACATCAGTATGGTAAGTTTCACAGAGAATATGTGAAGCTTTTAAGGAGACAAGTGACAGGAATATACTGATTTACATGGGTCCGAGAGGAGTCTAGGATCAACAGTAGAGACAATAGGTAAGGGGAAAGTAGACTTAAAGGCGCCTTAAAGATACAGGGTAAAGGATGTAAATAAGGTAAATGTCTAACGATATAGGGTAAGGGGTGTAAATAAAATAAAAGTCGTTCGCAGCAGGAGCTGACCAGAGATCTGAGGGAGGAACAGAGCGCACTCTAAAGAATTTACTTTTAGGCCTGATCACCCCAGGACCCACCAGATCTGACTTAGGGCTTTTTTTCCTGCACTGTTTCAAGCCTGAACCAGGCGCGAGGAGGGAACCACCATAAGGAGACTGCTTCTCGGCTGTAATGAGGACTCCGGCCATGTCCAAGCCAAGCTGAGAGGTGCAGGGGCCTTTTTGCCCCTTCTCCATGTCCCCCGATTTCTTGTCCGCTGCCAATACCGACTAGGACCTGTCTTAGGTTGTTTACCTCATTGCGAGGTAACTTACCTGTCATTGGCCACCAGTCCTCCATGGCAGAGCAGAGAGGCAGTGGCTATGCCCCTGCCAGGTGGAGACAGGCCAAGTCTCCTCAGGAGCCTGTTTCTCCAAGGCCTCCCGATTATTTCCAGCCTTGGGGCCCTCCAGCCTGTTGGCAGGGTTACAGCTCCTGAAACCAGGCCGGGCATTTCCCAACAAGGTATGACAATGACTTAAAAATATAGGGTAACGATTCATTCAGTAAAAGTTGTAAAAATAATATCTTGGACACTTCTACTGATAGGAAAGGGAAAGGAGTATGTTGGAAGGAACACTTATGAAGGATGGAGACAGAGTTTGAGTGTCATTTATTACCATTTTAGCAAGGTTCTCTTCATCAAACAAGGGTTGGGAGTATGTTTTATCTCTGTAAGTTGTTCTACATCAAACCTATTAAATTACAAGAAAGAAATAATAAAAACTAACAATGAGAGCTTGCTACATGCCGGCAACCATGCTAATAAGTACTTTATAAACCATGTCATTTACCCCCCACAGCAACCTGTAGGGTGTCTGGTATTGGGATCGTATTCCAGTGAAATAATGCAGTGTAAGGAGTTACACAGCTATTAAAATGGAGAATACTTAAGTAATCTGTTTCCTTTTCAGTATGAGGAATGGTCATTAAAAATAATAAATATATATAGACTTGGAAAGTATGTGGGAAAATTTCTTACCACACTTGAGCTGTTAAGAATAGTGTCAGCAATGAGAAAATGGTACATGTTCAAAGACTGAAAAAGTGTATAGAATCCTTAAAATTTATTCATGTTTTAATGTTCAAAAGTATATACATATTTAATTTATTAAAGCACTCTGACACTGCTTTGAATGATCATCAAAATTATTTTTTCCCGAATAACTTAATATAGACTTTATCATCTTATGATTATGAAGCCCAATTTATTATTCCTGCTTTCATCTGATAAAAGGATATTTATTTTGTCTTTTGTTTCGCTATCACCTTTTCTTTGTTCCTCAAATCTGACTTGGGATATTCAAGAGCATAAAAATATCTTTTATGCTTTGCTCATTGTTAAAATTGTAAGGCCCAGAAAGGTTCCACATACTTGTCTCTGCGTCCATCCTGTTCTCCCCGACCTCTCCCCGCCTCCGCCCGCCGACACGTACCGTTGTCTTCTCACACTCCCCTAGATGTGCCTCTGTCTTTTCTCATAATACTAAAGGCTGCCCTTCACTACATATCTAATATTGATTAAAAATGAGAAAATCTGTGGACTTTGTTAAACTAAGTTTTGTGAAAATTTATCCAGAACCTATTGCTTTAAACTGGTTTGAAGGTCTTTATTTGATTTCTATTGCAAAATTGATGTTTAAATGTTTAAATAATGACATCCCAAATCCAAACAATAGTTCATTGTTGAGCATTGTGGAATTTGTTTTTTCCTATTAAGTCTGTATATATGGGCTTTGCAACTCATCTCTAAACTCTTTTGTATTTAAAATAGTCCTGTGATATTTTTCTTTGTACTGTAGCAATTAATAAAATGTCAGTAGAGAATTGGTTAGTATTGAGAGGAGGGGGAAAATGTGTTTTATGGCTCTGACCAAAAGATGATAACATCTTAGACTCAATTAGTGCATGAGACACTGCATATTATCCCCCAGGATTCCCTCTGTTTTGACTCTTTGAGATGTTCCCTAATTTTTTTTAAAGATTTATTTATTTATTTTTAGAGGAGAAGGGAAGAAGAAAGAGAGGGAGAGAAACATCAATGTGTGGTTGCGTCTCACACACCCCTCACTAGGAACCCGGCCTGCATGTGCCCTGACTGGGAATCAAACTGGTGACCCCTTGCTTCACAGGCTGTGGAGTGGGCTTCACAGGCCACTGATTGAGCCACAGCAGCCAGGACTGTGTCCCCTAATTCTTACCACTCAAAATATTCTCGAGGCTCTCAAAGTAAAAGAATAGCAGCTAACAATTATAGTTGTGCTGAGACAGGGTAAATTTGCTTTTATATTGGTGTTTAAAACAAATACCTCATAGAGTGCTGAGGTTGGACCTGAGTGGAAACCACTCTGAATAACTGAAGAATTAAAAGTGTTACCTGAAGGAAGAGCTTTTTCCTTTGGACTACAGTATTGATTTTATACAAAAGAAGCAACTGAATTTGAGAGTTCTCAGTTTTTAATTTTGACATTCATTTTCATATAGTCTAACCATATCTCTGGTATTCCTCTGTATAACTTTTGCAATAATTCATTCAACAAATACCATTTAAGTATCTGTTTTCTGTTGGTCACTGGACACACAGTGAGCAAGATGTACAATCTTTACTCTCACGTTAGTTACAGTCTGACACAGGTGGGGCAAAAGTAGGTTTACAGTTGTGAGAACACAAAACAAAGTTTATTCTTGTATTACTATTAATTGATTATTTTCCATATGAACAACTGTAAACCTACTGTTGTCCACCCCTGCAATTATCAGTATTAGGGGAGCTAATACTGGGTGATGCTAGACCCTGCAGGCCTCTTAGGCCTTGCTTGCAGGATTTGGATCTTGATCCTGAGAGTAGTGGCAAGTCATAAAGGTTTGTCCTGGGCATTTGGAGAAGGAGAGTCATATGGTCACGTTTTCACGCTGGAAAAGTCACCCTCCTGTTTTATGGAGAAGCTGGAAGGCACCAGATCGGATGCAGCGAGGGGAATATTTCAGTGGTTAGAGGTGAGAGGATGTTAGCTCTTCCGGTCCCAGGTGCTTTGAGAGCTGCAGGCTTTGGTGCATGGCCAAGTCCAAGAACCACATCACACATAACCAGTCCAAAAAAGGTACAGAAATGGCATCAAGAAACCCCAACCACAGAGTTACGGATGTCTTAAGGGGGTGGAACACATCCCTGAGGAACGTGTGCTTTGCCAAGAAGTGCAACAAAAAGGGCCTAAAGAAAACAGAAGCCAACAACACCAAGGCCATGAGTGCAGGTGCCGAGGCCATCAGGCCTTCATAAAGCCCAGGGAGGTCACGCCCAAGATCCCAAAAGGCGGCAGCCACAAGTGGGACTTGCCTCCATCACTCACCCCTAGCTTAGGAGTCATGCTGGTGCCCGTGTCACCAAGTGTCTTGGTCTCTGCCAGTCAAAGTCCAAGGCCAAGGCTCAAACCAAGGCCCAGGCTGTGGCTGCAGCTACAGCTGAGGTTCCCAAAGGTGCCCAGGCCCCCAGGGAAGCTTCAGTGCCAAGGTTTCTGCTGGTGTGAAGATGAAAGGACTGGTGTGGCCCCTGGGCTGCGCTCTGCAGGGCTCGGTGTCCTCCTGTGCTAGTTGTACAGATAAACCTGAGACAGGAGCGTGCGCTCGCTCGCTCGCTCTCGCTCTCTCGCTCTCGCTCTCTCTCTCCCCCCCTCCCCCTCTCCCTCTCTCTCTCTATCACACACACACACACACACACACACACACACACTCTATATATATAGTAAAGATAAGAGGATATTAACTTAGCCTATAGAGTGATGGTACAAATGGAGCTAATGAAGTTAATGGGTGCAAAAAGTATTTAGGAAGTAAAAATAACAATGCTACAAAATTTTAGAGATAAAATTTTATAATACATGAAGTTATTTTTAGAAAAATCTATTTTTGCATTTAAAAAAGTGGTTTTAATACAGCCATTGTCAGTGGTAATAACCTTGTCTAAGAGAGCGCAAAATTACATGTTTCTTATTCTCTTCATTTAGTGACCAAAAATTTGACTGAGAAAAGATTGGCCAAATCAGCAGAAATGTCTCCAGTGCCACTGAGGTCAGCTGGACAAACAGCCAAAGCCCATTTGCATCAGCCCCACAGAGTAAGCCAGGTGCTTCAAGTGCCAGCTGTTAATTTGCACCCCACCAGGAAGAAGGGACAATCAAAAGACGCTGCCACACTGAGTAAGTACTCAACAATTAATACTGCATTCGTTTAATTGAAACTTCCAGGGGAGTTAGAATGAAAAATAATTACCAATGTGAGTGCTTAGGAGATCAGCTGTTGTATTTTATGTAATCATCACTCATGAATAAAATATGTTTCATTTTACCTATAGGTATTTGATAACAACATACATATTTTAAATGCCAACATTGGAATTCCTATAATCATATCAACTGAAAATCTAATAGCAATGCACTTGGGTACCACGGGCTTACTATAGTCAGAGGTGCATTTTAATCAATGCGCATGCAACTTGTATGAATGAAGTTGCTTATTCTGAAAGTGGCTGCATGTTGGTTTTTCATTAATGATTACTCCAAAAAACCTAGTTAGGAGACAGGAAGAGATTGTACATAAAGCATAGGTCATATTTTTTGCCCTTTCTGTTAGGCTTTGTAGACACTACCAAAATTACTTTTACTTGTTATTTATACTGTATCGCAATTTTAGCTTTCAGAGGGGAGGCCAGGTTAGATTTGGTTCCTTGTGTTATTACCTAGTTTAAGTATTACATAGGACATACTCAGTAGACTTTGTGAAATGTGAATTTAATTTGATTTCGTTTTGAGATCCAAAGTTGAAAAGAAATGCCTCGTCTTTGCCAAATTTTCGGTCTGGCGATAACACACAGACAGATAACCTCCGTAGAAGGAGTTTGCTGTTATGCCAGGGGTATGTACCGATCATGCAAAAGGACAGAAGAGGGAGAGCTGCTGAGAGCAGCAGAGGTAAGGGAGGGTTTCCCAGAGGGTTTTTTGGAGGTGACACCTAAGCAGAGTCTTCAAGGCTGATCAGGAAGGAGGTAAGCAGGCAAAGATTCCAGAGCAGTTGCCTCAGGTGCAGGGAAAGCTCGATACCTGCAGGGAGCAACAGGCAGTTTGCTGCCTCTGAGTACAAAGCCAGCAGGAAGAGTGTTGAGACAGTAATCATTAAAGCTAACAGAGAGCTTACGGAGCATCAGACAACAGTTCAAAGTGCTTTGCTAACTTTATGTGTTATAGTCTTATATTCGTTTAATCTTTATAAGAGAAGCTACTCTCACTCGACAGGGGAAGGCATAGAGGGTCTAAATAGCTTACATCCTCCCAGTAAGTGATGGAGCTGGGAGTGGAGCCCAGGCCATCTGGCCCAGAGTCCTTGCATTTAACCTCTGTGCAAAGCACCACACAGGATGAAGTGAAGTCACAAGCATGCCGAAATTATAAAATGGCATGCTGAAGGAAAGTTGTCAGTGGTCAGCTTTCAAAGCAACTTGAGCAAGGGAAGTTTGGTCCAGTTCATGTTGGAGAACAACAGTAGGGAATGCAATGAGACTGGGACAGAGGCCCAATGGAAAGCTGATGTCACAATCATTAGATGCAAAATTGATGAAGTTGATAAATTTGCTTGTAGAAGTAAGAAATAGGACAAGTCTAGCTCTGGTTTCTTGAATATCACGGAGATGCAGTATCACATTACCAGCCAGCCCTCTTCCCTCTTGTTGTAGTACAGCTGTTATCTATATTGACAATTACATTTATATCAAAATGGCACTTAAAAAGTAGTGTGAGTATGCTGTGATTTGAACTGTCCCAGCATCAAAGGGCTATTTGTCACTATGCCGAGTCCTCATCAGAGCTGGCCTTGCTTTACTGGTTGAGAACTGTGGCAACAGCTCTTTGACATTTCTTAGAGACGCACATAAAAATGTCAGTATTTTGAAGTCATTGCTAAGTTTGATCTACGCTAAACAGGACCAGCTGTTGGACAGGAGCAATGATAGAGCTTTGCAGGAATGTTTCCAGTGGGCTCCATACTATTTTTCTATGAATTTATGACTCTTTCTGTTGTCTACTTCTCTCCTGTAGTGTGAATTTAGTGCTCATGAAAAGGGCTAGCCTGGCAGCCCTGCAGCCTCCTCTGTATGCCCACAGCACAGACGCAGCCCAGGTAGTGACAGTGCCAGCATCCCACGTCGCCCGCCCCATGCCTCGCCCTGACTTGGAGAGGCCACCTCTAGAGGGGAGGGGGGAGGTTGAATCCATGCCTTCTCTATTAAGATTTCCAACCAGTGTGCCGATTGTGACGGGTGGGACGCAGACTGTTAAACCTTTTTCCCTTATGTCACAAAACCAACGAGAACTATTCTAATTTGGTCTGTGCTGACTGGCTGAGTTTGAACAAATAACCTAGAGGTGAGAATCTCTGTATGCCATTCCCCAGTCATTTAGTCCCCGTTTGTCATGTACACATTTCAATTGAATACACTAGCCATCGTGCATCGTGGCTTTAGTTATGTAGTAATTTAGGCAACTACAGACATATTAATGGTGAAGCGATGCTTACTTGTTTCTTTGGTTTCATTTTTAGGTATTGGTTTACCTCAGAAAGTTTTAGGAACAGCTGAAGAAATAAGTGGTAAGAAACATACCGAAGACACTATGTCTGTGGCATCATCCTTACATTCGAGTCCTCCTGGGTCCCCTCACGGCTCCCCACGCAAAGGTAAGTCAGGGCAGTTCAAGCGAGATCGTATTTCACCAAACAACACTTTGAAACAAATATTTTGTTTTTCAATCTATAGTAATAACAAAGTCTGAAGAACAGCATTGCCCCTCGTAAGTTTTGAACTTCCAGGTATTATAATGCAGGATCCCTGTGCTCAGTGTGGTCCTGGTCTGACAGAGGACAGGCTCAGGGGAGAGCGAAGGCAGGAGTCACAGCTGTTTGTTCTGAGTAGCTTCATGATGTTGCTCTTCAAATTTCCCTTCACTTAAAATTGTTGTGGGGTATTTGAAAATAAGAATTTCTACAAGAAATTGTTTTTAACCGACAGCAAGATTTAGGAAAAGAAATATTTAGGTTACTGCATTCTCTTCTTTAGTGATGGAGTATCAACCTTTTTATTAATCAGGACTTAAAATAACCTATACCCTAATGGATTTTTACATTTATACTTACATTTATATTTTTAAGGTAAAAAAAAAATCTGAAATCACTCTTACTCATTTATATGTTTTTATAATTCAGACTAAGCTTCTCTGGCCTGGCCTTGGCCTTATGCGAGTAGGTACTGCTTTACGTCAGCTACACATGTAGCGTTCTAACTCATGTTTCCACTCGCCCTTCCACGCTCTGGGTGCGCCCTGTGGCGGAAGAGTCCTGGGTCCTGGCATCATCTTCATAGATGCTGAAGAATTGCGCCTTTAAATAATCACAGTACAGGATAGTACATGGTCAGCGGGAGCAGCTTATGAATTCTAGCAGAAAGGACAAGCTTCCAGAGCGTTCCTCAGCTCCCATGTCCTAAATTTCATCTCCGTTTTGGAGGGCTTTTTCTTATCTTTGCCCCCTATGTGGCAGCAGTGTAGTCCAGTGATGTAAGATCTGATTTGGATACTGACTCTGTCCCCTTCTATTGCTGTGTCACTACAAGCAACTGGTCCACAGGCCAGGTTTCCTGTCTGTAAAATAGGAGGAAAACCACCTATTTTAGGGGACTTGTATAAGGATTGAATGAAACAATGTGTATAAAGGCTGGTACATGGTAAGTGTTCGATGAACTGGAGTGTCTCTTCTCTTTCCCTCTTTCAGCCCCTGGGCAGCAGAGCTCTGCACCTCAGCTGCCCTCCTGCCTCCCCTACCTGAGCCTGGCTAGACTTCTCATTCAGGTGTTACTAAGAAAGGCTTTGTAAAAATCAAATAGGACATGACTTTGTGGGTCACACAGGCCTGCTTCATCTCTCCCCTGTCTCCGTGGCCCTGTCAGATTGGAGCAGCTGGTGGGCCCGGCGCCCCGGCGGCAGGCAGACGGTCCCGAGGAGCCAGCCTGGTGCTCCCCCGCGCTGTCGGGAGCACCTCCACCCCGCTGCCACCGCCACCTGCAGAAGCTGTTCAGAGGTCCCACTGCAGTCACGTCTCTAACCAGTGCGACTGTGGGAAGAAATGTTAGGATCAGAATTTCCCAACAGAACATTCACTCTCACGGCTGGAGCACAGAAGTGTTTCCTCTGTTGTGTCTTTCTGTGTGTGATCAGCCGGCGGCTGTGATGTTTATTGTGAGCCTGTCGTGTTGGGAATCCTTAGGAACCTGGAGAAATGCTTTTCTTCAAAACCATTTCCAATTGTTTTTACGTATGTTCTTTCAAAATCCCAACTGAATATTTTCGTATATTTCCACAGACAAGTTTTTTTTGGCCTGTAGTCTATGATTGAAAAAAAAATGCCATTAAACTAGGATCAGTTCCTAGTTCTTGCTGACCTTTGGAATTAGTTCTTTGTTTTGTAACGATTAAGAAAATAAGACATTCTTTGTATTTTCCATGTGGAGTGTTGAAACAAATTAGAACTTTTTTCTTTTTTTATATTTTATTTAAGTATAATAGGTATACAAAAATTACATTAGTTTCAGGTGTACACTACAGTGATGCAACATTTACATACTTTTCAGTGTGATCAACCTTCTAATTTTGGTAGTTGTCTCTTGCCATTCAAACATGTCACCCTCCTGACTTCACCTTCCTCGCCCATCCTCTCACCATAAACAAGAACTTGTAAAAAATGAGAAGTCAACATGCCTTAACCTTTCACTTCCGTAGGGCTTAAAGAAGGCAGTCTTCCACCTTGGAGATAAACAGGATCAGAAATTGTGCTTCATGAGTACATTTATCGTATACGCTATTTAGATGTCCTATCTGATTTTTGCTAAGCTTTTTTTAAGTAGAATCTGCGTGAAAATTCTAGAAATAATTTCTTTTGAGAAATACTTTGGTCATTTTTTTGCTTATGATTTTACCAGCGTGGCTTAGCCCGTTCTGTACCAGGAAACCTTTATCCTGTGGTCCGTCTTGCAATGACTGTCGTATAATGCTATGTACTAGCTCTCTGTGTGTTAAAATGCATGTTGCCAGGTTTCAATTTTTCAGATATTATCAAGATGTTAGAATTTTTAACAGTGAAATCTTATATAAGCCAGATTAATTGTGATTATTTGGAAAGAATTAATTGACCATGACAGGGTTTTTGCATTTCTCCCTCCAGTTGGCAGTGTCCTATCTGATCCCAGCAGCCTGCCGCAGCCCTCAGGGTCTACCTCCTCCCCTCCCAGGGAGTCCAGCACCGAGATCGGTGGCCACAGCTACCCCGGCATAGGTGGGGTTTACTTGCAAAAGAAAATACTTCAGATTACCAGAAGCACAGCCAAAAGAACAGACAGGACCAAGAAGGCCACTGAGGAGAATAGAGACAGGACAAGTTGTGAGAACACAGCCAGAAAAAGAATGACCTCCCCGTTTAGAAGATTTAGGGAAAGAACTCTTTCAAGGGAGAGACTAGCCAACAGCACAAAAGAGGACGCAGATCACCATGAAGCTACAGAGAGCTGTGAGGCAGTGGAGGATGTTGGGAGCAACATCAAAGATGAGAAAGGGAGTGGCATCTTCTGTTCCAATAGCCGAGGCCACAGTAACGCTTTAAACTGCTTCTATACGCGCTTCAAGTCTAAAAGGAGGAAGACACTCTGAAGTTCCTTACTCATTTTAGTGTTAAATTTGTTTCATTTATTAATGTAAATGTAGCTTAAATTTAGTCATTTGTTAAATAAAGCTTAGGCAAACAATTTAGTAAAATACTACTTATAAGTATTTTATTAGTGTTACAGGGTCCTCTAGCAACAAACTCCTATTGAAGTGCCTTATTTTTATATATGTTATTTAATTAATGTCAGTAAACTTTATATTCTTGTGTTCTGTAGTTGCCTTTATTTCCTATCAGCAGCAGCTAGGTCTGTGAGTGAAAAAAAGTAGAGGAGGCTTTTTCAGAACCACTATTTACGTTCACACTAAGACCCCCCCCCCAGTAACGATCTACCTTAGCCTCAGAGAATTTTATTGCTTTCTACTGCAGCTACTTTAAAACAAGCTAATGGAGAAAGAAGTGTTTGGGAGGCAACAAACTACATCTTTCCACATGTACTTTATTGCCCATTCTTCATGTGTCTCTTATCAGAGGAGGAGGAAGAGATGGTCTAACAGCACGTTGAAAATCATCCAGGAAACTTGTTAAAAATTACAGTTACCCTTTTCACCACAGACCTCGTAAACTTGAATGGCCAGAAGTGGGCCCAAGATGTTGTCTTAAAAAGCTTTCCAGGTGGTCGTTAAAATTGATTATATTTCTGAAATACTGATCCGACATACATAGGGATGAAATTTTTGAACAATAAAGCAAGGCTATCCCCTAGAATAAAAGAGCAATAATTTTTTTTCTTTTGAGAATTGGTAAATTTTTTTTTATTACAGTTTACGTTCAGTATTATTTGTATTAGTTTCAGGTGTGCAGTGCAGCGGTCAGCCTCACACTTTACGAAGTGCTCCCCCCAGTATTACCTGTTCCCACCTAGTGCCACACACAGTTGTTACAATATTGGCGACTGTGTTCCCTGTGCCGCCCTCTACACCCCGGGGACCACCAGCTGGTAGTTTTTAATTTCTTCACCTTTTTCACCCAGTCCCTCAAACCCCCTGCCATTTGCCTACCATCAGTCTATTTTCTGTATCTATGAGTCTCATTATATGTTGTTTAAATAGAATTTATTTTTAATTTATCACATCCATTTTCTTGGTCCTCTTGAAAACTGACCAATTAATTCCTGAGGGGCCCTGAGGAGGAGTAGTGACCCAGTCAGAGAACTGGGGGAGGGGTCAGGACTGGCTTGCCTTGGGTCCAGCCCCATAAGCTAAATATAAATCACATGTTTCCTGGATCTTAATTTTTCTTTGAAATAGTTACTGAAACTGCTTAATAAGGTTATCGTTCAACATATTCTTTTTCTTTAATGACTTGAGTTATATGTGAGTATAAAGCCTCTTGTTCTGGAGATTTTTAGGGATTGAACCAAAGGTTATATACCTATTGAGCCACATTCTCTCAGTGAACAAGAAAGTAATTGTTTACTTCCTTGAGCCTACTCCTTGCTGGCATTACTACAGCATTTTCTCTTATTTCTAGGCAAAAGAAGTTTGGTTACTTTTCTAACCCTTATCAAAACCAGCTCCTATGTACATGTTACTGTCAGGTGCAAATTTGTTTTGGGACCCTTCTGCCTCACTTCATCTCTGGCCCTTTATTCCAGGGGATGCAAAAGAAACTCTCCCTAGCTATAGCTGCTGTGCAGTAAGTCATAGGACAACTTGAAACAGGTAGATGCTGTTTTTCTCATAATTCAGCTGTTGAATGTAATATTCTCTAAAGTTGGTGAAGAAAAAACTAGATGTAAGATTAAATCCAAATCTAAAGCCATTTATTTAAAAATATTAAATGGCTTTCAACTTGGGACAAGACTTCTTAATAACATAAGCAGAATATCTGGGGTAAGTATATGTAGTTTGAAAAAGCAAAAATATTCTTTCCCTAGAGTCCTGATTTCCCTCCCCACTCCACCCTGAATGTGGTATTTTGGACGCTCGGGTCAGGCCATGAAAGCCTGTGTTAATTAAAACTGGGGGCGTAAGTTTAAAAATAAGTTGAGAAACTCCAGATGTCTACTTTTTAATGTTTTTCAGTACCTTTTTGCCTTCTTGTTTCACTAAGTGCTCGTCACTGTGAGAACCAGGGGCAGAGAGACCTTTGGGCTAGTTTTCTCAGTAACACTGGGCATTGACTCGTCTGTATTTTGAACTTGTTGAATTGGGACGGTGTGGGCAGGTAAGGGCGGGTCCTCTCCCCGACCACATCCCCCCACCTGGTTTCCTGTTTCGTAGTTTGATCTCTGCCTTCTCTCATTCAGGTTATACACTTGTACCATCAGCTAAATCTGACAACCTGTCTGACTCCAGCCACAGTGAGATTTCTTCCCGGTCCAGTATTGTGAGCAATTGTTCCGTCGACTCCATGTCTGCAGCTCTGCAGGATGAACGGTGTCCCTCCCAAGCGGTCGCGGTTCCTGAGTCCACTGGGGTGTTGGACAAGACAGAGCACTCCTCAGGGACAGGAGACCACAGCCACCCTGGCCCCGGGTAAACACCCTCACTTGTGTTCATGTCACGGAGCGTGAGCCAAGTGGCCGCCGCACGCAGTGCCCCCTCACTGCCCTGTGGGGCGCTGGCAAGGGGGACCTTAGAATGTGAAGGCCAGGCGTGCATTTGCTATACTGAATAGGCAAATAAGGGCTATTTTGAAAGATGTATGGGTGATCATTTTTTAAGTGGTACTGAATTCAAGTAACTTTCTATCACAGGTACCTTTTCAACCAGTAAGAACTCAAAGTGAAGTCATTGATATAGGAGGTGGGTTTTGCATTCTGGCTATTCAGTTAGAAATTGTTTAAAAAGATTGTGTAGTGGGAAGTGCCCTCAGTGCTGTACGCCCTGTAGATGGTTGGGGGAGTAGGGTGTCCTTGATCCTTATTCTCCGAAAGTATGTTTAGGGAATTGTCAGCTAGCGGGAGTTACACTCTAAATTTCTATTTAGAGTCAAGCAAAATGGAAGTCTTTGAGAAAGCATTAAGAAAGTTGATTCTAAACTGATAAATATTATTAGCTGAAATATTTAATATGAAAAATGTAAGATATAGTCAAGTATTATATTTGTAAAGGCTTCTAAACTATGATTTTCTAGACCAGGGGTCCAGCCTTCTGTGAAACTTAGTAAATATTTTAGGCTTTACAGGCCATAAGGTCTATTGCAACTGCTCAACCCCGTTTCACCAAAACAGCCTTAGACAATATGTAAACAAATGAGAATGTTGTGTCCCAATAAAACTTTATTTACAAAAACTGGGAGAGGACTGGACTTGGCCATGGGCCTAAATTTGCTGGCTTTGGTGAAGGCTTTGTATTGTAAATCAAGGGTTCACAAACTTTGGGGGGCAGGGCAAAGGACTAGATGTTAAATATTTTGGGCTTTGCAGGCTGTATAAAGTCTCGATCTCTAATTCTTTGGAGAATTTTATTTTCTTTTAAAACCTAAAAGCCATGCTTTGCTCCAGACCGTACAAAATGAGGCCGTTGGCTGGATTTGGCCCGGAGCGTCAGTGTGGGGACCCCTGCTGTCAGCGGTAGAACTCACTCAGGAATAGGGAGTTGGGAAGGTTGCTACCTGCTTGGCGCTGTACCAGGAGAACCTCAGAGGTGCATCCCTTTGGTTGGAAAGTCTTAAGTCTGCATGCACGGGGACAATCTGCACTATGTTGACCCAGCATAAAAATGTATACTTAATTTTATTCATTTCCAACATCATTTTTCATTCTCATTTGCAGTCAATTTAAGAAAAATTCTGGAGGAAACCGCGTTAAGTATTTCCATTTCTTCAGTGTATGTTTCTAGCCAAGTATTAACGTTAATGCTAACGGAAGTTTAGTGATGACTGACGATAGGGCCATTTTTCTCCACAGGGTTACTTTGGCATGAACACTTGTTGTGACCCATGTCCTATAGTCTCTTGTATGCATTTAGTACTTGCTATGGACGAAAGTTTTTCCAGTAAGCCAGTAAATTACTTTTAATGGTGTATCTTCAATTTAGGTGGACACTGTCAAAGCCATCTCTAATCAAGAGCTTAGCTGTCTCTTCTTCTGTGAGCAGCGAAGAGATTTCTCATGAGCACATCATTATAGAAGCAGCAGATAGTGGTCGTGGAAGTTGGACTTCCTGTTCAAGCAGTTCCCATGACAACTTCCAAAGCCTTCCAAACCCAAAAGGCTGGGACTTTTTGAACTCCTATCGACATACCCATTTGGACGGCCCCATTGCTGAAGTTGAAACCACTGACTGTGAGCCCTATTCCTGTCCTAAAGGCTGCCCCAGAACTTGTGGCCAGTGTAAAGGAAGCCTAGAGACCAATCAGATGAGACCGAGTTGGGCCTCCTCCAGTTCTCTGTCTGACACGCACGAACCAAACTATGGGACAGTGAAGCGGAGAGCGCTGGAGAATGCCCCCGCTGAGCCATCCGAAGGCTTAGACCTGAAGGATGGCACGGACGCAGTATATAAAACTGTTACTTCCAGTACAGAAAAGGGCTTGATTGGTGAGTTCTGTGTTCTTTGTTGTATCTGTGGCATTTAGAGATAAAATGGTAAAAAAAGGCATTGGAACATCTTAGTCTAGAATGTTATTGAAAAAAATCCCTTCTCTCACATCAACTCCTTTTCCCTCTTCAAATTATTTTTTAAATGTTCATGATTTCTCAAGGGTTTGGGACAGGTATTTAAGCCTGTTAAAATAAAAAGGCTGGTTTGAAAGTATTTAATTAAGGGGACAGGTTTATTTGTCTTGTTTCATTTGAGTATCCTTTTGTTCTTTGAGAAAATACTGCATTACTATGAGAGTATGTAATAAAGGGATGATCCTCAGGCACATCATAAACATTTGGACCGCCGTTGCTATGCGTAGGGAGTGCACGTGAGAAGACAGGTGATGAGGAAGCGCAACGCGCTTTCGGGACACCCTCCTGGAGCACGTGCTGGGAGCGCCAGCTCCTGTTTGTGGGTCCCGTCTTAACTCCCTCCCCCAGCTCTCGGGCTGTGTCCTTTTGGTGTTTAAGCCATTGAATACCATTTTTCATTTCTTCCTTGAATTATGTAAATATTCTAATAGAATTGCCCCTGTTTTTCTATTTGTGGAGTGACTCTACTTTGAATCACTAATGTCATAATCAATTCTTTATTCTATAGTATATTCATATCAATTGAAATACTAAAAATGGGAAAGGCAGAGATGCTGACTTTTATAGAACATCTATAGCACACTTATAAATTGCATTTTAGAGTGAGTTTTTAGCTCGTTCATTATTTCTCAAGGAATTTTTTTTTTTTTTTATTAAAGCCTTGTAGAGAGCCACGATGTGGATAGATGAGCAGGAGTGTTCACGGATGTAAAATCCTCCTCTCGTCCATTTGGGATAACAGATTCCTAAAAATCTTCCGTTTCTTTCATTTCCGATGGCTGGGCACATCACTTAGGCTCTTCATTCTCGTCTTCCTTCTCTTGGCATCCTCTGCATCCCCGCCCCGTTCCGTCCCCCGCCCCGTTCCGTCCCCCGCAGGCGGGGGTCGAACTTCTTTGGGACCTTAATATACATGCTAATTTTACTGATAAGAGTTCTAGGAATTTCATTATGGACAAATTTGATCCTCTAAAGGGAGAACTAATAGAATTTTTAATGATCCTTTTTAATTTATTCTACCCATATACAGGCATCAGTATTGTTTGTGTTCTGAAAGTCACTTCTGTGATCCAGAAATTCAAAGCTGTTTGTTCTGTGGGTTTTGTAGACTGGTCTTAAATTCATGGAACTTCCACTTCAGCCTCTTTCTTATGTTCTGGAGCTTTGCCTTTGTCCCAGTGTTTATAAACTTAGAGAAATGATTTTTAAGTCACCATTGTTTTTAATATCCACTGAAAATCAGAGAAATTTAAGATGGATTTCCTAAAATTAGGGGGGGATTTATTCTTCATTTAATCACAGAGCAAAAGTTAGAAGTAAGACCCCTAAAGGAATCGGCTCGAATCAGCTCCTCTATACCAGGAAAGTTACAGTCGTTCACGTGCCAGAACAGACAACTTAGTCTACCCAGAGTGGGTGTAAAACTAGCGGTGCCTGTCGCAGGGCCCCGCAGTTGCTCCTGTGAAAATTCAGACAACAGCCCTGGACGGGGGCTCAGTTGATTGGAGTGTTGTCCTGTGCGCCAGAGAAGGTTGCGGGTTCAGTCAGAGCACATACCTAGGTTGTAGGTTCAGTCCCTGGTTGGGGTACCTAAAGGAGGCCACTGTTAGATGTTTCTTTCTCGCATTCGATGTTTTTGTGTGTGTTTGTCTCTCTGTTTCCCTTCCTCCGTTTCTCTCTCTCTAAAATGAATAAAAACATGTTTTCGGGTGAGGATTAAATAAAAAAGAAAGCTTTTAAAAAGGAAAAAATCCAATCAAAAGACAATAGATATTTAGGGTGGACTCTTAAAACGTTTCTGACTCAGTATCTTTGGGGCCGGTAGTCCTTGAGGAGTTTGTCACAGTCTGTGATGTGAGGGCTGACCTGTGGAAGGAATCTTGTCATCTGTCATCTCCTTCAGCTCTTTCTATTCTATTTAATGTTTATAAAAACTACTGTAATTTATATATTTTAAAAACAGGTTCAAATATTAAGTTTATTAATCTTTTAAAAAATACTTGTAATGTCATTGTATTGAAATAATGCATATTCATTTGTCTGTGTTTAAGTTCTATTTTGTTGTTGTAATAAGTTCCAGTATGTTTTTTTAATTTCTTCTACTTCTCATTAACATGTCCATTGCTTATTTTTCACGCCAGTGTACTGTGTCACCTCCCCCAAGAAGGAGGATAGGTTTAGGGAGCCACCTCCCACTCCTCCGGGATACATGGGGATTTCTTTAGCGGACCTAAAGGAAGGACCCCACCTACACCTCAAACCTCCCGATTACAGTGTGGCAGTGCAGAGGTCAAGGATGATGCACAACAGCCTGTCTAGACTGCCACCAGCTTCCCTCAGCAGCAGGCCCACGGCCTGTGTTCCGTCAAGGATTGTAGCACAGCCTCAGAAGCATGACTTGCAGCCGTCCCGTCCGACACTAGCAGACGTGGCTGACGCAGATAGTGAAGCAGATGGTATGTTGACAAACTACCCTAATGGCTCTTAAATGGATTACTGAAGGCCTGTAATGGTCTTTACTCTGGTATATTGGTAATGTTTTCTCAAATGCCTCAGAAATTTGTTTAAAAAATGTTAAAAACAAAACTCTAAATATGGTGGTTTGGGTTTTGTTTTGTTTTTTTTTAATGGAAGAGGGTAACCTCCTCAATTGTGTGACCTGTCTGTGATGGACAGCAGTCAGCGTAATGGGGCAACTGTGAAAGGACATTGATGGAGTCGTGTTTCCCACTAATGCGTGACATTGATGGAGTCGTGTTTCCCACTAATGCGTGAGAACTTGAGACGGATGGGGAGTGTCGAGTGCAAAATTACCTGAAATCATGCTGTTGATGTATTTCCTCTTACTAACAAAACCCTTCATTGACTTTGCAGCTGTGGTTTGCTTTGTTAAAAAATAAGTGAAATTTTTATTCTTTTAAACAATAGAATAATAAGGTAAAAAGATGTTATGAAATTCCACTTCGTTGTCAGCTATCAATGCGATCAAAACCCATAAATGTCATTACAAGAAAACCTGGACCTTGGCCAGATCTTTGAGAGGATTTCTTTGTAGGAACTAATTTTGTAACAGATAACTAGATTGTTGATCTCCATGAATATGCTTACCTGCTACTTAAGTGTGTTTTTCCTATTTTCAGAAAATGAACAGGTTTCAGCAGTCTAGCTGGAAGTCATGGAGGAAGGAGCTGGCAGAGCCACCCACGCTCCCCAGGCCGTTCAGCAAACAGCTGGCTGCTCTGCGCACCCACAGGTTTCACGCCCTGTGCCCTGAGCAACGCTGAGCTTTGGGTCATGCCTCTGCGCATTGATCCTGCCACGCAGCCGCCTCCGCTATGGATGCTGTGCCTGGACATGTCTTCACTGTGCACACCAGACCTGCCTTGGGACCATAGTTACTAGAACAAATCCAAACACAGAGTCCTCTACATGTGTAATATGCCGCTATAGATTTTTTCTTTAACATGTTATTTTTAAGATAGTAGTAGTATTTCCAAGCCATAGCTTGGGCTAACGGACAAATTCAAAATTGTCTGCCAATACCGGGGATGTTTGTATGTATTTGAAAAGTAACTTATTATTTGAAATTTGGAGGTTTTGTTTGTATTTAGGAGCTCTCATTAGCTGGTGTTTATGCTTGAGGCCAAACAGAAGTCAGCTTTACAGAACGATATGCTTGGTCCCCGCAGACCGTGAGCGACCCGCTGCACCAGTAGGGCTGTGCCTCAGTGTGAGGGGGAGAGGAGGCCCTTCGCGGCTGAGGTGTTGGGAAGGAAAAGATTCCCACCTGCTGGGCCCTATTTGGAAGGCCAGGTGAAGCTGCCACAGGGTTTCTTGTCAGCCTTTGGGGCAGGGAGGTGGCAATTATGAGTTCCAAAAAATGAAATTTTCATGTTAAATAACATGTATCCCAATTCTTTTGAACTGAAAGTCACACTGCATCTAACTAGCTACAAGTATAAACCCAGTCAATAGAGAATGGGTTCTAGAGCATTCTACTCTGTAGAAACCCAGAACTAAAATGTTCTCAACTCAGATATGGAGTTCTTTTTTTAAAGGAAGTGTGGTCATCTCTGGTGTTATCATGAAGGTGATTTTAGCTTTGGGCGGTGTCCTGCCGTCCAGTCCCTGCCCACCAGGCTGCTGCGGAAAAGCTCATTGCTCATCAGGGTCAAAAGTCAGTTCAAATTGTGTGGGAGAGGAGGAGCGAGGATCATGGAAATGGTTCTCTCTTGGTTCCAATCTCACCCCTGAGAGGAAGTATATTTTTTAACAGCCTGTTGGGCATGGCACTCTTAGGTATTTATTTTAAATTCCATTGTTTAGTGGACAAGCTAGACTTTCCACATTTTTACAAATGAAATATAATGTATTCTGTATCTTAAGTTTAAATTTTTTTTAATTTGTTTTTTAGTGTAAAGGCAAGTGAGAGCCTAATAAACTTGTCTGACTACCAAAAAAAAAAAAAAAAAAAACACAAAAAACAAAACAAAACAAAAAAAAACCAAACCAAAGCAGTTACTGTGCACTGCCCAGATCAACTCGGAGCCAAAATGGGTTTGCTTCTGAGTGGCTGTCCACGTGTGAGTGTGTAGGATTTAGTAGGCCTTGACTTCCTTTCCTGGTGGCCTCGTCCCTGACCCTTGTCCTGCCTCTTCTCTTCCTTCTAAAATCAAAAGTTCCAAGTGGTAAGTGGCAGTACCATCGTTTCCACCGAAGTGGTTGTCTCTTTACTTTAGGAAAAGTAGCATGTCTGGAAAATTGCCCTGGGCACAGTAATCTTAATCTGAAGCTTAAGCCTTAGAAATGAACCCCCAGTGCGCTAGAATGAGGCCAGTTGACTTCCATTTCTGGGTCCATTGAAATGGAAAGTCGCCCAGACCAAAAATCCTGGTTTGAAAGTCACACCATAGTGATTTGGCCTGTAAACAGCCATCGTCTGGCTACAGATTTTTCCTTCACTGATTTACACAATATTGTTTTCATGTCTAAAGTGAAAGATACTTTTGCTATAACTATCTTTTCATCAAGTTTGGGTATTTATTCTACCCATTTTTATACGCATTACCCCAGCAACAGTGCTCTTTGCCCAGTGTCTGTTTATTTAGCAGGTCTTTCAAACCAACCGGGAGGTTTACCCGGGTGCTCCCTCGAGTCAGGAACTTCCTGCGGAGTCGGAGGCCCGTGGGTGTGGACGCGCGCCTCGGAGCTGCCCCTGGCTCATCTAGCTCGGACTGTGAGTACTTGCATCAGCCGATCACATTGATCAGGAAATAAAGCCAGATGCTTTTCGTGTGTTACATATGTATCCCTTAAAAATCATGGAGTTTTGATTGTTATATGTTAGGGCACGTGCCTGCCTTCTCTGTCACATGGCAAGAAAAAGAGAAGCCTTAACTTTTTTTTTTTTAATCCAATTCTAAATCACTTGTTTTTGTTTTTATTTTATAAATTTATTACTTTAATAAAGAGACTCGTGCTCTCAGTCCCCCACAGCTCTGCACCTGCCAGGACTGTCGCAGCAGCGCGTCCTGGGTGCGCGTCTCTTTCTGATGAAAGGTTTGCAGAATCTGTGAGCTCAGTGCCTGCTTCCATAAAATTTGTTGTAATGAACAGATTCTTCTCCAAATGATTACTTTCAATATGATCTTTGGGGAGAAAAGGCCTTAAATGGTTCTTCATGAGGGTGACAAGTCACAGAGTCATCATCTGCCCAACGTTCACGGTCTCCCCAGGCCGGACTGTGGGAACAATCATGGGGTCTCCAAAAACAAGCCTGATTTTATGAAGTGCATTCTCCCCTAGAAGGGGAGGAAGCTGCCTTGTATATTTAGAACAATGATTGTTATTCTCATACATCCTAAACTTCTAAAACATGTGATACTAAAGTAGATGTATCCCTTTAGAATTACCTTAAGGCCAGAGCAAAGGGAGAGAGAAATCTTCAGAAAAGTGTCACAGGACATTTCCAAATTTAAACTTGAGCCCCAGTCCACCTGCAGCTTCCATTTTTCTTTTTTAAGGCTTTTTTTTAATTTTTGATACAGTGCAGTTGTATTTGCTCTTTTAAAATGAAACGTGAATTTCAACAAGAGAAAAACAAAACTGCACAGTCCTAATGATCTGGTCGCAATGATCATGCACAATTCAGTGATTGTTAAGTATCCTGTAACAAGCAATGTTGTCTCCTATTTTTTGATACCTCTTAAACTTATGTCTTTTAGAAAGACGGTGCCTCTGTATGCTTTTTGTATTTTCACTGAGTGTAAATATTTGTTATATTTTTGGTTAAGAGAATGTAAAAATGCCATTTATTATCACCCTACCTACTAATACTTGGTGAAATCAATAAAGAATCTATGTTAACCTTCTCTGCATTTTATTGAAAATGTTATGGCAGCAGATAAACTAATTACACCCAGTCACTAGAGAAGGCCCTATTTTTAAGTCTTCAGAGAAATTTGAATGGTCCAGTTATAGTTGACTATTGTCTCTGTAAAATACCAAGATACTGTTTAGTTCTTAAACTGCTTTTGATTACAAATGCAGTAACACTGGCTTAAACCCTGCTGGGTGTGTTTTTCTCTCAGAACTGTCTCGGGCAAGCCGTCCAGCGACTGCCACTGTGACACCACATGCTGTCAGGGTCCCTCTCAGGGGTCTGTCATTCACAGCTGGGGCATCCCCAGTGTTCCAGGAAGGAAGGGAGAAGGGGAAGAGGCGCAAATGTCTATTAGCAAAACAGGTTTTTCCAGAACTGCACTTGAATATTTCTCCTTACATCTCACCACCAGGGCCTCTTCCCTGGAACTTGGAAGTGTTACTCTATTTGGAAAAAAGGGTCTTTCTGGTGTAGTTGAGCATCCTGAGATGCGATGCCTTTGGGTTACGTGCGTGGGCCCTCACCCAGCACAAGTGTTCTCACAGGGGACTGACACGGAGGAGGAGATCGCGAGAAGACGTGCAGCCCACAAGCTGCCGCCACAGCCGAGGGAGCGCCACCGCCACTGGGGACTGGGAGAGGTGAGAGGAGAGCCCGCCTCAGAGCCTCCAGGGAAGCTAAGTCCCCGCTGACACTGGGACTGTGGATTTCCAGCTTGTTCTGTTAAGCCACGCAGTTTTGGGTAATTTGTTACAGCATCACTGGGAAACTAATACACATCACTGTATTTAATGTGGAAGGATGCGGTGGTCCTCAAGTACACCTCGGGAAGCCCCCTCGGACTACTCGCAGGAAGCGTTTGAGTAAACAAAAATGGGAGAGGGACTGGTCATCCCAGAGGCCAGCCTGTTGTTCCTCCAAATGTGCACAGAAGGGGCACCCTGTCGTCTTTGCCAAACTTGCTTTTCATTTTTCTGATTTCAGACTTCTGGTGAGTATGCACTGATGTCTTACTGTGACTTTAATTTTAATTTCCATGATGACTAATGATGCTACTAAGCATCTTTTCAAATATTGGCCATTTGGATACCCTCTTGCGAAGTGGCTTTTTTTAGATCTTCATCTGTCACTAGGATATTGAAATATGATTGTTTTATAATGACCTGCATTTGACAATCTTGCTCAATTCATGTATTCTAGCAGTTTGTAGATTTTTGTTGGATTTTTCTATATATTACCTGCTCATGATGATAATTTATCATTTATTTCTAGTCAGTTTGCACTTTGTTTCTTGCGTTACTGCACAGATCAGCAGGCCAGTACGGTGCTGACCTGCACGGTCAGGGTGGCATTCCTGTCCTTGTTCCTGGTCTCAGGGAAAGCTCTCAGATTTCACCATGGAGTGTGATGAGTGTTACAGGATTTTTGTAGGTTTTGTAGGTAATCTTTTTTACTAATGTTTACTAAGTGAATTTATGGTGTTGATTTTTGTCAGATGCTTTTCTTGAATCTACTGAGATGATACTGTTTTTCTTTCTTTTTCTGGGGTGGTGGTTTTTTTTTTGTTTGTTTTTGTTTTGTTTTTTGTTTTTTTTGGTCTGCTACTGTGGTAAATGAATTGGTATCTTTCTAAACTCGCACTCCCCGATCCACTGCTGTCCCCCACTTCGCTGTCCACTCTGCTGGAATAGACCCCACTTGGTAACATGTCATTTTTTATATATCTCTGGATTCATTTTATGTTTTGTTTAGGATTTCTACATCATGTTCAAGAGAGATGGTCTATAGATTCCCCTTTTTGTAATACCCTTGTTAGGTTTTGTATTAGTGTAACACGGAACTCATAGGAAGAGCTGGAAATTGTTACCTCTGTTCTCGGGAAGTGTATGGAGGATTGCACTCTGGTCACTTCCGCCTCCCTGGAGTCCGCCTCAGCCTCCTCCTCACTGTGCCACCCCAGCACATGGCCAGGACGTTTTCTCCAGGCCATAAGCAGAAGCAGCAGGAGGTCTCACCTCTGTTTCTTGTGCTCTCACGGATTACTGCCCTTCAGCGCCTGATGTGCAGTGTCTTCAGTGGCATTGTTTTATATATTTTGTCTAGGGCTTTAGTTCAGGCAGGAGCATAAAGTTTCTCCATCTTGACCCAAAGCAGAAGTCCATATATGAAATTTGTATTCCCTCCGAAAGACAGCCAGAAAATATGAAATACTTGTATATGCCCCAAAAAGCGCCCGTTAGAAAAAGTGTGCAAAAGATGTAAACAATCATGGGAGGGAGGAAACTGTTCAGTAAACATGAAAAGGTGCGTCATCTCGCTATGAACAACTAACTGCATGGGCTTGGAACTGATGACTGGGAAGTGTTCGCATGCTGCCCTCCACTGGGAGTGGTGGCAGATGCTCTGAGCAGAACTTCTCTGAAGAAACAACTGGGGCTAAAAGGGTGGTAGAATTACACTGGAGCCGCCAGGTGGCGCTGTGCTACAGTGTAACTGCCTTAAAAAAGTGAGAGCAAGGTAATTTCTTAGCCATTTTTCCAGACAGTCTGAGCAGGTAGTGAAATTTTTCAGGAGACTCCTTCACAGAGGTAACAAAACCAAAGCATTTCCAACCAGAAAATACAGAATTTTGAACAGATTCTATTCGGATAACCTTTGGACATTTATGAATGGCCAGTATGAATGAAGCTATTTCCTAATAGTGTTTGTACCTTTGGACATAGAATCTGGGATACTTAATGAGGGTTGGTTTTTTCCAGGGCTGCTAAGGGATGTGTTCTGGAAAATACAAATGGCCCAGCTGGACGGCAGTGAAAAGCAGGTAACATATGTAAGAACCAATCAGACTCCTGGCTTATCTGCTCGGACCACTGGTATTTTTGGTCTTTT